TATTATTAGCAGAGGTAATGCGATTAAAGACAGATATTTATAAAGCGCTTATTATACTTGTGCACACTCGTAGAAATTAAAAAAATAAACATAATATAGGTACATCCTGTAATATTCTTATTCAATAATTTATTATCATGTTTATGGCTTATACCTATATTTAAATAGTAATTATTATTTATATTTCAGTAGGTAATAAGCTAATAGTTATAATTTAATGAGTTAAAATTAAATTTAAAATAGCATAATCCAGATATTTCAAGTAGTAATTGAAAAAACCTGAAATCGTATCATATTAGTGTCGACGATCCACTTATACTCTCCAACAACTCTACAAAATTCCAGACGCGATTTAAAAATTCAACAAAAGAATCACTATAATTTTGAAAATATATTTACTATTATATTACAAATCAAAATTATATTGTGATTGTAAGTTAACTATGTAGGTACTAGATCCTACTACTTATCGTAAAAAAATCGAAAACAAACTTAATTCTAATAAAAAATATAATTAACTAACTTTGTAAAAAAATATCCAATTAAATATATTTTATTCTTTATATTTTATTATCTTTACATGAATAAGTACATAATAGCATTTAGGAATGCGCTGGAAGACGTGACCTTGCACTCAATAAGATTGTAAAGATACGTTTTACGTTATATTCCAGTAAAAAGTGTTTCTCAAAATAAAAGTCTTTGTCGGTACTTTCGTTTAGCTCTATAATTTTCCATCGAGATGCTAAACAAAAACAGGATGACTACGTTTAACCAGTCTACCGTCTCAAATGTTACAGCGTAGGAAAATGCACGTTTCCTGCCTAGTTCTACCGTACCTACGAATTGTTCAGCGTGACCTTCCGCAATATCAATGCAAATATCATAAATTTATGATATACTGAACAAAAAATTATGCAGCAATCGTTTAATGTGTACCTATTAAATGATTCTAAGACCTTGTATTTTATATATTTATTTAAATAACCTTTAGCTATACCTTTAATTATTTCATTTAGTGTTATACAACAAGCTATATAATAATACCATAATAAAGTTTTTATCTACAAAATTATTTGCAGCAATATAAATATTGATCTTAATAAAAACACTTTCTTTAGTTTTATATTATGTAGTAGGTACATGATAGATATATTAGTTTTAAAAGACTAGATTTTGTCACAAGTCACCCAGCTTGGATCTTAGCACGTAATACAAGGTATTTGTTAAATTAATAAATATTGCATTTGAGGCGAGATTGAAACTAGGTGATTACTTGCGTAATTCACTGCAGGTTGTACCGATGCAGTCAATAAGCCTACTCCCGATCAGACACTAGAGCCAACGCGATATACAAACATACTCTCGTAATAGCTACGTTTACAATATTATATTTAACATAATTATGTATAAATTATGATCTATCATAAATTCATAAAATTGCAAATCAACAAGAATCTATCTGCGAAGATGAAGTAATTATAAAGTTATAAAGATGTAAAAATAAATTCATTAAAAGCCTTAGCCTTTCGAGGGTTTTATTTCTAAATATACCGCTGTAATCGTATTATGCAGGTCGCCAGCTAAATACTGCGTAGAAAGCATGCTTCATTATTATAATAGTGCATACATACGTGCACTAGGTCCTAGAGGTGCCGATGCCGGTGTACAGGATCAGCACTGCGAATCGTTCGCAACCGGGCAGACGTATCAAAAACAAGAGGGACAGAATTGATGCGGCCGGCTGTTTATAAACATTGAACAGTCGGGATACGATCAATACCGCTCTACGAGCGCCTGGCCGCCGGGGTCACAACGTCGAGAGACGCGGCGTGGGTTCACACTACAGGGTACGGTTCCGATTGCACCGGGTAGGATAAATGCGCGCTACTACGACTACCACGAGCGTACTGCACCGACCGGCTGACGGCGGCCGTGTGTGCGCCGCCCTAGCGGTTACGTCACGTACTTTGACAGCTGGCGCACGCGGATCGTAGCGTGAGGCGGCCGCGCGCGGCGCCACCGTCGCCCTGCGCGCGCCGATCGATGTACGCCACGCGGGCCGCGGCCACCGCCACGCCACTCTTGTCTTCGCCCGCAATCATTGTATCGCGTTACTTTACAAGTTGCAACTCACTCGATCTCTTCTTTTACAATTTCATTCTATGACTACATTTAGTATGTAAACAAAATTCTAACTCATGTTTTAGCTACCTACATGTTAAAGGTGTCTTAGAATGTAGTTAGAGTAAGAGCATATGAACTAACTAGCCCTAAATAACGTGTTGGAAACACGTCGTAAAATTATTTTCACAGCTTTCAATATACATTACAGGTACATTAACGTATATACCTGCTTAAATAAAATTGTTATATGTTCCTTATTTCATAATTTTAAAAAAGAAGGGTTGAATTTTACTCAGCTCTGGCAGAAAAGAGCTGCTTTTCAACCGACTTCAAAAAGGAGGAGGTTCTCAATTCAGCTGTATTTTTTTATGTTTGTTACCTCATAACTCCGTCATTTATTAACCGATTTGGATTTTTGCTTATTTTTGTATTACTAATAAAAGCAAATTTTATTTTGTCTTCATATAAAAATTGGCATCAAACTAACTCAAAATATTTTATTAAAATACTTTTTTACTTTGCTACTACTGTCTACTCTAAAAAGGGAAAAATAAAAACTTAAAAAATATTGCCCTCAAAATGAAACACTAAAAAGTCAAAAAGTCGGTGCCGGCCGATACAAAACAAAGCGATTTCGAAAATATCTGATTAGGTACATATTTATAGTTAATGAAAACTACCAATCAGTTGTTTTTACTTTTTAATGTTTTTTGAAGCCGGTTCTTTTTTTTAGTTTTTAAATTATATGCACTTTCCTGTAATTTCTTCACCGATTGCTTCAAACTGTTGATACGACGTTGCATTCCAGTACTTCATTTTTTTATATAGTATGATTATAAGTACCTCTGCCACATTTTTCTTTCTTTTTCATTACACCTTACTGAACCACAATCATGCAATCTATCTCTACATGTATTTCCAATAAAAGCATAAAATTAAACCTTGACGACTACTTAGTTGTTATTATAAAATATAACAGTACCTAATTTAACACATATTTTTCCTCTTGTTACCAATTTTGATTGTATATTTTACAAGACTCATCAAAAAAGGTCTTAAATGTATAATAATTCCGTTAATATACCTAGGTGAGTAAAAATTTAAAAATTAAAATATTTTTTTAAAGGACGCCGTTTCTTTTTTTTTAAAGAGATGTCAATATCTATCCAATAATAGGGTAGCTAGGTGTCAGATGACATCTATTTCTAACTAGCGACTTACCCTCGCTTCGCTCGGGTCACGGGTGTGTCCTAGTTACGCGGATTTTGTTCACAATTTCATGGATTTTAATTTTTGTTACGTGGAACCCTAATCCCTTTTTTTTAAATAAAAGTAATCCAATTTATTCCTTGTAACATCAACTATCTGCCCGTGAAAGTCCTGTCAAAATGGGTGCAGCCATTTCAGAGATTAGCCGGAACAAACAGACGGACACAAATTTTTTAAAATTATTTATTGATGATTTGATATTATAAATACCGTATACAATTTCATATGCATTTAGTAAAAGCTATTATTTTGACATTACAAACAGACACCTCATTTTTATTTATCTGTATAGAAGATGTATAGATGAAGGAAAAAAAGCCATACAAAGAACATGTCAAGGTTTGTTAAAACAGTTTATTACTTCATAACATTTTAAAGTCAACATTCTAATATTTGCAATTTAACATACATTGAAAATAATGCAACAAGCAAATCATTCTAATTTCTTCCTGAATATCGTGTTTCTTTACTGCCATGTTGAGTTTTATATTACAGCCTTTAATATACAAGACATGTTAGAACCTACTGGGGAATGAGAGTACAATCACTTACGAAACCATCATACCAAGCCAGTTTAATGCGTCGTTATTGAAAGATCAAGGGGCTTCGACACTGTCATTCTACATTCGCTCAAAAATAGAAATTTTAAAAATTTCATTGAAATGACAAATGTAGGTAGTAGTTTTATCATAAAATCATAATATGTCATTCCCATATATTTTTTTAGATATTTATTCTTCAACGACTATAGAATGGCGTCATGCCGAAGCCTAATTAAGCAGGTAGCTAAATGATGCAACATTGGCCGTGTCCTTTAAATACAACGCATTAAAGAAATAAAACCATAGAAAAATATGAACGCCACGCGAATATATAAAATGCAAATGGTGTAGTGGTAAAATTATAAAAAAATATATTAAAAATTACAATCGATCATTGTCATGTCACGGGACACTGATTAAAACAACACTTAGTATACAACTGTAGTCTTATTTACTATTACACATGTATGGAACATGGCAGTAAAAAGCTAGGTAAAATAGGTAGGTACTTGGTTTAACAAAAAAAAATGAATGTGCTCTTTGAGTACATAAAAATAGTTATGTTGGTGAATGCCTTAAATGTTTTATTTAACACACTGCCTGCACTACTTTCTAAAACTTAATTTTGTTTCACGGTTATAACTTGCGAAGTTTTTTAACAGAACCTCCAGGTAAATGCGGCAAATATACTATTTTTAATACATTCACCCCGACGACCACGCCACGGACGTCGGACGTGTCAGTGTAACACAAGTGTAATAAAACAACAAGCTCGTACATTAGTTTCGAAAAAAACAAAATTAAAGGAATAAAATGTGTTTGTTGCTAAGAGCTGACATAGAGAGAATCCTGTACAACATCGTGAACATTAATGTCTTATACATAAACCTATTTCCGTTGTAGCTAATTTGGGTCTATAAATTTATATTGGCTGATGTTTGTAAGAAGGAGACAAAGAATGCTGAAACTATTAGGACTAATTTTTTGTGCATAATACTTTAATATTGTACTGATTAATGGTAATTTTTATTAATTTATATAATTGGCTATTCGATGGACTCAGTAGACCTTTAGCTGGTTCTTGTCGTCGAAGCCGGCTGAATGGCCTGCGTTGCGGACTATGAAGGAGTTCCCGTCAAAGTGCATGCGCCTTTCTCCGCGCCTGCGACGATAAATCCATTTATAATGCATTTTGCAATTCCAGAGCTGAATTTAAAACTTTCCCACCAAGTTACTAAACATAATCAAGTAGATTGTGATATTTTAAGAGTTGAATCCTTTGAATCGTAAGGTGGCAATCTTGAGATTTTCAATAAGACAAAGTTTTTTGTTGCCACTAACTTTTACTAGATTTGTCATCAATTTACATACCTATGTCGTAAGTATAACAATTGCTTTATTATCTGGATCTCATATGTCAAATGCATTTATGTAAACAACATGTTTTTTTTTATTTCTTTCAGAAACGGTATTACGCCACATTCATTCAAATGTCGGACGAAAGATTTTATTAGACAGAAATATCATTTTGTAACTATATTTTTAAACACAATTTACACATTAATCAAAAATCTATCAAGATGGCTTTTACCTAAATATTTATCTTCGAAAGGGTATAGTTGCCAAAAAAAACTGATAAGCATGCTTAATACCAGAGATCGTCACTTTGAATTTAACTTGAGACGAAGGGACCAACATAAGGAAATCAGTTAACATCTTGAGGGCTTCTTTCCATCAATGGGTATGACGTATCCGTATTAACTATTCTATATCTTTGCAAAGCTAAAAGCTAATATACAGAGGTTACAAAGGTGATGTCACAGACGAAAAGGAGAAAAACATGAGTATACCCTACTTAAAGGAAAAGAACTGGTGACATCACAACTCACCTCACAAACAGATGCTGCGTCTGCCCTAGCGAGGCAGTGCAGTGCAGAAATGGGCTGGTGATGGACGCCGAGCCGTTGCTGGGGCTCGTGCGCAGTTGGTACTTGTGGCTGCAGCGGTGCACCCTACGCGTGTAAGTACATTAAACCTATTTCTGCAGATATTATAATATTAAAAAAACATAGTGTTCGTTAAATAAGGAAAACGGCCTACTATAATAAAGGCGAAAGTCTGTATGCGTTTCTGTTTGTCTCTCTTTTACGCTGGTAGGATTTTGATGAAATTTAGTGATCTGGAGTAACACATAGGCTACTTTTTAGCATCCAGAGAAGTACCCGAACAAGTGAGGATAAGGCGCCAGTAACCAGTGAAACAAGGCACAAGGTAGTTTATGTTAAATCATATGTACTAGAAAGTTTTACGAGTGCTTCAATAACATTGCATTGATTAAAGGGTTTACTATGTACACCTATATAAAAGGTTTTTAAACTATTTGTTGGTTATGAGTTTAATGAGACTACCTACTTAATTTGGTAATCCAGTAAAATGTAACTAAACTCCTAAGACTGTCAAGTTTGACTCGCACTTGATTAATACATCATGGTAGGGTGTCAAAGAATTGTACCTACCAAATAATACTCGTAGCATGTAAACTTATCTCACAGCCACTACAAAGTACAAACCTACGTTAAAATATATCCATCATCAAATTATTACCTACATGTAAGGTACCTAGTAGCTACTAAATTACTAGTGTGATACGATGGTATTGTATATATCAAACTCAACGTTTATTATTGTAATATAAAGATGTTTATCAAACACATTTATACATGCAGGCTCGTATCACTACCAGGGAATAGGTATAAAACACAAACGATTTTACCGATTCGATATAACCATTCAATTTTATTTCAAAACCCGTCAAAATTGGACTTTTAATGCTTCATCAATTTTATATTGTGTTTTTTAATGTCTTAGAGAAAGTTTGAAATTATGTAGATATTCATCTTAACTATTCAGCAGTTTCATCTAGTTCTCTTCAACGCTCTGTAAACTGGGGGACGGGCCCCACGTAAAATGTCTATGTCCCCTCGCTAATAACTCTCAATGTCAGTTGCTCTAGGTGAAACCACAGCATTGAAATCGATATGAATATTATGCTTGGGTACTACTCAAGTTGTATAAAACAGCATCACCTCTATCTAATAGGTATCCAAAATGACTTACTAAACGACTAAAATGCTGCTTGAAACATTTAAAAATCACGCGATTGATCTTTATCGAATTTTACTGTAAGAGATATCATTTGTAACTATTTAGTATTTGAAATTTAAACTTAACAAATTACCTTACAAGCCCGTCCGCAGTTTGACTGACCCGGACGTTGTTAATTATCCAGTTGTCGATACCGTCATCGGTTAGCCAGTACTGCACAGCTTGGATGAGAGATAGCGCCTCATTTACGTAGGATGGTCCATGCCGAGATTCACTACATAGAGTTATCATGACTTTAAACAATAGTGAATGATAGCTTTTATTAATAATGTCGTTAACCTCAACTATGTTATACAACGTTACTTGGTCACCTACTTTTTATACTTTTGATAGCTTTACCCTATTTTCCTTGTAAAATATACAGAAAGCTTTATGTAACGATTTCCGCTAATCAAAGGTCACATATTATAATATATTATTATGTAACATAGAAAGCAGTTCCAAAAGTTCCCATTTGATATGTCTTAACTAAGTAATGAGATTGTGTTTCTATAAAAAATAACAGAAACTGAATCCGCATCACCAAAGTTACAGTTTGCATCACACCACACGGCGCTCTGACGGAACATTTTGTATAATATAACCTATAAATCATAAACTATATTTGGCGTAACTTTGCAGTACATTGTCAAAAATATTATTAGTGGAAAAATCCTCGAATTGTTATATTAAAATTTAAGTACCTACCTATATTCAACTTAGGCAAAGCCCAAAGGACGGTTATGTATTTGAACTGTACCTACATAATTTGTATCTATGTGTATGTCCGATACTGTTTCCTCGGCCTATGTTATTACTAAACGATCTATCGGATTTTGATATTTATATATGTCGTATTATCGTCTTGATATCGAGACTAAGATACCAATTCCTTCTTTTTGTCAAATTGTTCCAATATTTTTTATTATATTTTCGTGTTGACCTGAAGTTAGTCAAAAGGCTAATGTGTATTTAGATCAGCGTAAGAGCACTATCATTCTATTATCATAATTATATGAGATATATTGAAGCATATTGAAAGACCGTTCGAAGGACTGGTTTATTGAAAACTAGGCCACCATACAAGGGAGCTCTCGCTACTGTATAGAGCACTCTATAATTAAAATTGATTAAATTTGATTAATGTGGAGTGGGTGTTCGACCTAGCTACCGACTTACCTAGCGAAAATATTTTAGGTCTTTCCCAGAACCAGAATACGGGCAAAAGCTGAGTAATCCGAGCAAGCATAATGTATATACTACTACTACTTCTACTTTTAGGTATATTAAAGTAAATTAAAATATTTAAGCAATTTGTGTATATAATGAAGTGTGAAGTTTGGAATGACATTAAATAACATAACTTTGAATTTTATAGAGAAGTGAATGTACTTTGCATCTAGAAACCATGCATAAAAGATGAAAAATTTTGCTTGCTTATAAAAAAGAGTGAACACAATTGGCTGTCTGCGCGATGCGCCGCGAGAGCAAACACGTTCAACAATGAAAACTCAGGGAGATTGCGCCTGGCGCCCGGATAAATGACAAAACAATAATGCACTCTGAAATAAAAACCGTAATTTATTCTTTTATTTGAAACCAAAGTACATTTGTATAGTTAATAACTGTACAGTTCGATTCGTCTCCAATTTATAAGATACTTAAAAATTCTATTAGATATAGAAAAGAATATGTTTTGTGTTTTGTCATGGGCGTACCCAGGTAGGGGCAGGGGGGGGGGGTCAGCTGCCCCCCCCCCTGGATCGTGTATGTCTACGTACCTACTGTTGTCGACAAAGTTATGTTTGAGTCAGGCTACGAGTGTTGCGGATTACTTTACAATATATTATGTGTTGAATTATAAAAAAATTGCGCCCGGTCAATAGCATCATACAACACGCAAGAGCAGCGAGCGAGCGGCGAGCTCCACGCTCGCCTGGCACTCGCTACCGCGCCAACGACTTCCGAAGACTATTGAATCTAGTCTAGCGCTTCTGCACTGGCCTGCGAGCTCGTATTTGACGTGTTATTGTTTTGAAAGAGCCAAACGTAGGTGACAAAAAATAATCAATGTACATATCTATCTTCTTCTTCTCCCAGCCCATTCCCCAATCACTTGGGGTCGGCGCAATACATCTTCTGTACTGCTGAAAGGATTTGGCAAAAGTTTTACGACTGGCCGCCTGCCTGACGTCAACCCTCCTTGGGAATCAGTCCATATCTATACATACATATAATAAATTGTAACTGATCGCTATCTGTACATGGGAGATATTTGAGAAAAACTATTATTGGGGGATTTAGTAACGCGATAGAACCCAAAAAAATGATTTTCAGAATTTATGTCCGTTTGTCTGTGCGTTTGTGCGCGCTAATCTTAGGAACCGCTTAACCGATTTGGATGCGGATTTTACGAATGTATTTTATGGTAAGCTTCACTTAACATTTAGTATTGCTAATTTCAATCGGTTCATAAATAAAAAGAAGTTATGTCAATAAAAAAAACCAGAAACAATTATTTAAAAAAAAGTTGTGTATACTTATGTACGCACTTAAGAAATTATATTTCATTGTTTTTTTAGGAAATTTAAATAAAAGCTTGTTTTTTAAAATGTTTTAACTATTTTTTAATGATTCTTACTTTTTTTCGTTTTCTTCTCAGCAAACCCTTTCATTTGATATCCATATCAAGGGGGTGCAAAATAAATAGTCCGCCATATTAAATTTTATAATGACGTCACTTTGCTTATTGTGTTTCGCTCATTAAGCCCTTTCATTTGATGCCCATACATATGGGTCACTATGGAAATAATAAATCACCATTTTGTTACGTCCGTTCGTCGTATTGGACAAAAATGGTGGCATTTAGGAAATCGTACAGTCACGTGAGTCAAACGTACGTGCCAAATTTTAGCTCAATGGGACAATTGGAAGTGGGTCAATTTAACTTGTAAGATTTGATTACAGACAGACACCGAGACAGGTGAAACTAATTAAAATCTTGTAATAATTTTTATATTTGTCGATGTAAAACACGTGTTGTGTATATAGACATAAAATAAACCATAAAAAAACTTCACATTGTAGCCAATAACGACTAACTTCACACTGTAGTCAATAACCACTAACTTCATACTGTATAGTCTTAATCTGTCGCATCGTAAAAAAATCACTCTCATCATCCATTTTTCATAACGCGCCAAAAAAAAGTATAACTTCAAAATCGCTATAAACTGTTCAGTTAATTTGGCTGAAACTTTGGTTAGTTATAATATTTATGTAGTTTGTAAAACGATGAACGATTGAAAGTTTATATGGACACAACAAACTCAAAAATTGATAATTTCAGAAAAGTCGCTGCCAATGTAAGTTGAGACATCTATACTAGACCAGGGTCGATAATTTTTGAAACAAAAAAAAAATAATAGTAGGTTGAAACCTATTTAAAAAGGAAGGACTTGTGGTGTTGCCGGAAATCGAGATAAGCCGTTTTTTACCCTTAAAAACTCACCCCCTCCCACTTCTCGACCTCAGATCGCCCATAAATTATTTTTCCTTCATTTTTGTTATATTCTCTTCCTTTTTCAATGGGTTTCATTCTACTATTATTATTGTAACACTTTTTACCAATTTCAGAAGCTTCAGCCTTGGTTTATATTGTTAAGCATAATAAACAGCGTTTAGCTTAAACTGGGCACGCATCTGACGAACGCCGGCACTCCCTGGTAACAGCTAAAACTCAACTTCATATTATCACATGGTTTGTAAGGCTTTTGTATATTAAAAATAAAATGAAATTTCCATTATATGTTTGTAACAAAAATTGATAGAGCCAGAGAGAACATATTCGCCAAGTGAGTTACTTGTGCTTGGTAGGATTCGTACCACTGTTTGTGTTATGTTTGTTAGTAATCAACTTCTTTATAAGTAATAATAAATATTTCCTTTGTATGTATGTAATCTATTTATTTGTATGTGTGTAATCCATTCCTAACCCATTTATCCGATTGCTGCGAAACTTTGGTCAGTTGTTCTAGGTACGCCCGTAAAAGTTCTTAGCGTTAAAACAAGAATTTTTCTTTATATGTTTATTTTTTATACCACCCTAAACCATTATCCCCAGAGACGGTCTCGAACAAAGCGAAAGGAAGTGGCTACTTAGTAATAAAAAAGTAGTTATAATATAGTATTTTAAATAAATTAAGGACAAAGATTTGTAACGTTATATTAATAATATCTGTACCTACTATAATAATCACTGGAATGGTTTTGCATTTACAATAGAGCCAGTCGCCAGAACATAAAAACACATTTCCTATAAAAATACGGCTCTCACGCTAAACCACTACCCTAATGCTTTTAACTAAAAAATCTTAACCTAAAAGCTTATAATAACCGATATTTTTACGGATATTATGAAATAGCTGTTAATAATTAAGTTACTTGACCAGTCTTACTTGTAAAAAACGTTGAGAGTAAAGTCTTGACTCATGTCGAGAAAAGTGTCGGTAGTAGTGCGAGTTCCCGCAGCATCCACCAAATATACTAATGCGCATTGCTCGGCGGTGAATGATACTCCCTTATACCACATCTTGGCATATCTACGTAAAAATATATAGATCCTTATTCTTTATTATTCCTTATAATTTATGTCTTATAAATGAAATGAACAAACAGTTCACGCTCTCTTTTAATTTATTGAAAGCAAAGTAGGTATACTTAAATAATTGAATCTGTTATTAGCACAGCAAATTCCTATCTAAATTTATTAGGTAATCCATTCTTGAAATATGCATTTTGAAGAGACAGACAGAAATTTTAAGAACATTTTATTAAATTCCATACCTTTTAAATATAAATTCAATGTACGAACATACTCTCCATTTCGTTACAATATTATTATATGTACCTATTACCTAATACTATTATCATCTGTAAAACATTTCGACTTTTAGCTTTTATGCATTAACGCTCTTTGAAGAGCCGTAAATATTGGCAGCTAATGAAAACATCCTTTGATAGGTCGTGTGTGATGTCACGGTCCACTATAAAGGATTGCACAAAGCGCAAAAAGCTGGACAAGGTATTTTTCCGCCAGTCATCGCATGCGTTCTCTTTGACTTTTAATTGGACACAAATGAATGCCTGCAATTGCGCGCGTGAAACTTATAGCCTCGGGAAATATGTAAAAGCCATTAAAAAATTTCGCCTCACAGGAAATATTTAATTTTTCCATCACAGTGCATTATACTGTAAATGTAATTGTTATGTTTTCCTTTAAATTAATAAGTAGGTACCTACGTACATATTATGTAAATCATTCTTAATAATTGTATATTTATCTACACAGTAGGTAAAAATTATTTTGATAAGTCACGACGGAAGATATGAACGATTAATGATAATTGATAAACCTGAGTTGCTTTATTCTAGCTATATACCTACATATAATAAAATTGTAACTAAGCCAAATCTGTACATTAAATATTTTTTGGAAAATCTTATTTAAATAAACATTATTTTCGATACAGAGGCCGAATCTATAGTTTTTAGATTTTTTGTCTGTCTGTCTATCTGTCTGTCTGTTACCGCATCACAGAAAAACCACTGGAGGGATTTTGATGAAATTTGGTACGGTGATAGCTGGTTATCCGGGTCAACATATAGAATTTTTTTACCGCGGAAAAATGACTCATTTCTTAAAAAATATAAAAACTGAAAAGTATACTAAAATATAAAACCTAAGAATTTGGTTTATGGTCATCTAACGCGGGCGGAGCCGCGGGCAATGCTAGTTAAATATAAATAGTGTAGGTATGTTACAATATAATAACATCACATTCATCGCATATTCGAATTATACGAAGGGTAAGTTAATTTAGAATTCCTTCACCTAACAATAAAATAAAGAAAAAATATTATTTATCTTACTTGTTGTTACCCTGTTGATGTCGCGCTTGAATCTCGACTCGGGATCCATATTGGTAAACGCGACCGTTGGGGTGGATGAGGGCAGCAGACGCGCCAGACCGAGACAAGGCAAGGATTATATTATTCTTCGCATTGGTCAAGCGAACCGCCCCGTCGATAGTCATATCCACCCTTGTATTTAACACGTTTTAATTAATGTAGTTGACACATATCTAATTAGAATAAACCTATAAAATGTAAGCTAAATTCTATATCAATTAACCTTAACATACTGTAAATTAAATTCCTAATCTATACAGATAAAACAATTGAAGTGTGTGTTTGTAATGTCAAAATAACAGCTTTTTACTAAATGCATATAAAATTATATACATACGGAACTTATAAGAAAAACACATTGTCTGTCTGTTCCAGCTAATCTCCGAAACGGCTGGACTGATATTGACGGGACTTTCACTGGCAAATAGCTGATTTTATAAGGAGTAACTTAGACTACTTTTATTTTAGAAAAAGAATTAGGTCTTCTCCGAAAAAAACTTACCTAGGGACGCACCCGAGCGAAGATAGGGTAAGTCGCTAGCCTATATTAATATTATATTAGTCACTAGTTTAAAATAAAATATCGAATAACAGGTACCCTATTTGGTTCAGTGACACTTTTAATCTATACATACATATAATACAATTCTGAGTCAAATCTTAGCAAATCTTTTTGAAATCGACATTATTATCGATACAGAGGCTGAATGTATAGTTTTAAGAATTTTTGTCTGTCTGTTTGTCTGTCTGCCTGTCTGTCTGTTACCGCATCACGGAAAAACCACTTGAGGGATTTTGATGATATGTATATGGTATGACGGTAGCTAGTTATCCAGGTCAACATATAGGATACTTTTCACTGCGGGAAAATATCTCATCTCTGAGAAATCTATACTAAACGTTAAAACGTATTAGGGACGATCCAGAGCAGTGAGTCGCTAGTACTTATACTATATTGTATAAAGATGACAGATTTATCGAGTCATCAAAATCATATACCGTCGGAACCTCTTAACGTTAACTATAATATGTAGCTCTAGTAGCACAAGTATTTAATAATTCTATTCACCATAAAAAAGTTATTTAAACTAAAAACTGTTAATATATTAATTTTACTAACTTAACTCGATCCCTTAACCGCATGCACACAGTGCCATGCGGAGTCACGGAAACGTTGTAGGTCGCTCCTCCTATTCCATCCGTTACCTAAAAGTGAGGGGGATACGCTAGAGAGCAGAGCAGAGAGATACGTAGTTTAAGTATAATACCAACGAAAACTTGTTATAATGACATTTCATTAGATATAATTAAATGTCATTATACTTATTGAGGTGATACTTCAGCCCATATAAGCTCGCATAATATCGTATGAAATTTACCTCTTTACTTATTCTAGTTCTGACAGGATAGACTTTTAGTACAAAAATGAAGTATATTCAAAACTTTTCTGTTTATCACTATATTTCACGAAATAGATACTTCTTTTGAAGATGTTTCTGCGTAGAAAATGTACACCTAAAGTGTAAGTTCATGCTCAAGTAGCGAGACAGCAAGTTGAAGACGACGTAAGCATCTTGACTCGTATAGTGAGCGTCCAAACGGAATGCAACGTTTACTTCATATTTACGAGTCTAAGTACAATGTACTTAAGTATGTCTGATTGTCAATATGTTTATACATAATTATAAAAAAAACGTTGCCATAGCAAATGCTACGCTATAATTTAGCAAACTTCTGACATCAACTCAATGTACTAACAATAAGCCTAAGCATGCGGGTTCGATTATCTTTATAGTAGACTTGCAACGAATATTCGGTTACTATTCGGTATTCGGCCTATTCGGCTACTTTTATCCTATTAGGCCGAATACTGAATAGGTACTTATATGTTTTGTTGTATTTACATAATAATAGGGAATATGCGTGTGATTTAAAGAAAGGCATTTTTGCAAGGCCAGCCGATACAAATCAAAGCACACAGATTTCGAAAATATCTGATTAGGTATCTATTCTAAATGAAAACCCCCGTTTAGTTATTTTTTACTTTTTAATGCCTGGAACTCAGTTTCTTTTAAATTTTCATTTTTCCATTTTTAGTGTAGACATAATAAGCTGGTAATTTGTAAGAAGAAAGTTTTTTAATAACATATTCGATTAAGTCATTTATTTAAAAATAATTTATAATAAGATTCCTACGTATTGTGAATCCAATCCTTTTTTGGAAATCGGTTGAAAAAAATATTTTGTCTTTGCATTTTCAAGCAGTAGTTTACTCCTAGATAATCCCAGATTCAGATAAAAGACGCTCTGAATAAATACTACTTCCTAGCGCCAAACAAGAAACAAACACGTAGGTAGATACAAGTTTTCCCGCCACGCGCTGATTTAATACTTTTGCTTAATATTCGGCATTCAGCCAGTAATCCCGCCGATATTCGGTATTCGGCGTATGGCCGAATATACTATTCGTTGCAAGTCTAATTTACAGCCATTACCACACATGTATAGAGAATGTTCCAGCACCTAATTTTTTAAATGGCATGGTTAATATCGTACAATGTTATGTTGTAGTTGAGAGAATAAAAAACCTCTATAAGCATTTCTTGATAGGTACTGACTGAAAACGCAGAACGGAAACCACATAGTAAGTACCTATGTACATAATACATATATGTATATATTATAATATATGAATAATATGATGTTATAGCTGCTGTAGAGTATAGACGCGTTTTTCTCTTTGTCATTCAAGACTGTTTTGTTGTTGCTTTATTATAATAACTAGCGGCTCACCCTCGCTTCACTCGGGTTCACCTTTAGAAAAGCAAACAGATCCCACGGGAACCGTTCATTTTTCCGGGATGATAAGTAACCTGTTGTTTGTTATCAACATTTCAAGTTATCAACATGCCAAATTTTACGAAATTAGGTGCGTAAGTTGTTCTGTACTAAGCTGTATAAGTTACTATAGTTTTTTAACAATCCCACGGGAACTCTTTATATTCCGGGATGAAAAGTATCTAAGATGTTGCATGGGGGTATAAGTTACCACCATGCAAAATTTCATTTAAATCGCTCCAATAGTTTCAGAGATTAGCCTATACAAACAGAAAAACAGACAGCTCGCTGGGGTTCGTCCATACCTACGATTATGTTGTATTATCTCTTTAACCATTTGTCCAAATTATATGCAGTAAGAGAGAAAAATCTTGTTTTAAACATTTTAGACGATAAATTTACTAATCATGATAAGAATTCATAATTGTTGATAATATGACCAATAAACATGACCTACCAATTTAAATTATTTTTTTAATATAAAAAACTACTTTTTGTAACTTAAATATAAAAGTTAGACATATGCTGTCGCTGACTTTTTTGTAGACATTATTAGGCTCTACAACTTTTCTCTAGTTTCTTACCTCTTACCTTCTTACCGCTCGGGTACGTCCCTGGGGTGGGGTCTGGGAAGACCACCCTTATCCTTATCACTTAGGGGTATGGAAAATAGATAGTAGCCGATTCTCAGACCTACTGAATACGCATATAAAATTTGGTAAAAATCGGTAAAGCCGTTTCGGAGGAGTACGGTAACTAACATTGTGACATGGACATTTTGTATATTAGATAAACACAAAAGAACAATAGTAGAAACTTATTTACATAAATCTGACAATTAATTATTTAGTTTTAAAAACTTGTATTAATTTCTGGTTTGTGAATACAATTCTACAAAACTATCCAGTGATACACCGATTCGTATATCGCGCCAGCTCGAGAAAAAGTAAAGTTAACTTGACAAAGACTCTTGACAGCTTGATGTAGTCACAGATTAATTATCGTATATCAAAATTGTGGTTTTATCCTTATATTTTATTCTTTCCGTATATGATATTCTATAAATTTTGATTGTAATATACCTAATATGCCTTATTTAATTATTTGAGATAGAATAGATTACACAGAAAGTGAAAAATTATAAAATTAATTACTGAATAATATGTTGTGCAGGTATATTTATGTCAAATAAAATGTAACATAACTTTTAAACTTGGTCAAAATATTATTAAAAAAAATAAACCTTATAAATCATCATACTCCTGATACACTATATTCATCTCATTCTCTCGTAGGTTACTCTTGTGAAGTTTCACTTCTACCATGTGTGAAATGCGCACTTCTTTTTTTTATAAATGTATATTTTTTTAATACACTTTTTTATCTTAGCTTGTAAAAATGTAAACTGTGTAACCTCAGAAGGCAGTTTAAACCTACTTCATAGTGTCGCATCCATTGATTGGAACTTTGAAGATGTTAATAAAATAATTAGACACCATTGATCTCATTTGATGGTGAGACCAGGAAGTGGATAGTGGGATATCGGAACTCGACAAATGAACTACAAGTGAAACTTTCGAGTTCGGCTCATTTTATTCGTTTTGACGAGTCCCATACATTATATATAGTTGGCTGTAAAACTAAGGTTCATAGTTCTTGTGAAATTCATGAACTAGTGTTCACCTAGTGGTCGAAATCCGACCGATGAAAACTTTAGGAAAACTTATTATATGAATAAAATTTACCTACCTATATCCTATACAAAAAAACTGTTTTCAAAATTTTTATTGATAACTAAAGCTCGTCAATAGCTACTAAAAAAAAAGAATCGATTGACAAACGTAGGAGAAAAAGTAGGTACCTAATGAGCTGTTTTGTCTTCGCCTATTGATAAAAAGGTTTATACAATTTTATTCTATAAAAATCACGAAATTCATCGATTAAGGTAAATAGCGAACGAAAAATAGAAGGGAGTATATAGTTTTGATGACATTATTTCATCAACTACTAGTTTGTTTTCAAATTATACATAAGATTATACTTGAATTAATTTTAGTTGAAGTACCTCTAATTCCCTCCAAGTATCTGCGTGGAAGATATCATCACCAGGATAAAATGGAGCTTTGCGCTGCAATGGAGCCCGCCATGGCGGTTGCCAGCCAGACGCGCCTACTAGTTCAGCCTGACCGAGACCACCCTCTAAAAACTTACTGTAATCTTGAAATGTAGATAGACTTGACTCCTCCTAATACATAATAAAGAAACCCGTAATGATTGTATAAAAATGATGTTTGGTATAAAAATAAAATTCCATTGTCGATACAGAAGCCGAATCTACAGTTTTTAGATTTTTTTTCTCTGTCTGAGACCGTATCAAACAATTTCATTTTGAATAAAATAGAGTTTATTTAAAATAAAATTACGTTTATTCTAAAACAATTTATTTCTTTATTTTAGCCGTACAAAAATATTTTAGTGTTATCTCAATTTTAAGCATTATAACAAAATAATTTTCAAATCATTAATCAATGATACCTGATTATATGAATGGGCTGTGTAAACACTTCTAGGACGTACTGCCATTACATCTTTCCTATAATCCGCGTTGGCCATATTAATACTTCTTCAGCTTTATTAAATTCACTGTTTAAAAAATACTACACCGACTATCGACACTGGCTAATACTACATAGTATATATAGTACTTCACTCGGTAAGGGACTAGAAGAAGTAATTACTGATTTGTCATTACTTCTATTCCAATTTTAAATTGCATGTTTCTCTACGGTGACGATACAATAATGAATCTAAGCAGCCAGTTATAAAAAAATCTGTATATAAAAATAATATATAGATAAAAATGATATTAGAAAACGACTATTTAGAACAACTGTTGTTCAATATTATGTAAACACAACGAAAAAAAGTTTTTTTATTAAATATATATATATAACGTATAAGCTTTTACGTTGATATGGTTCGTGTATTATATTGTGAACGAAACAATATTCTACAATTAAAAATATTGTTTTTACAATTACGTTCCTATAGCCCTAACTGGTAATAAGACAATTAAAACTAATTTAGCGGTACTCATAATACGTTTTTCTGGTTCTATTGAAAGTGGTTCTTATGCTATTTCGTTTTTTTGGAATTTGTGATCTATTGACTTTACTGTTACGTCGTTTTGGCATTTCGTAAAGGACCACATTGTGACTCGTTTCATAAAAAAAGCGATTTTTGATTTTTTTGTAGATTCGTTCATCTGGTTCTTATACCGCGTATTGTTATCAATATTTAATTATTATAACATATTTTTTTTAAATACATACTTGTATCTATCTACGTATAAAGTCCGGACTGATGGTGTATAAAAAATCTGATAAAAATCTCATAGTTGAAGTGGGCAAAAACACAAAATAAAGTTTTACGAAACAAATAAGTAAATATTTATTATGAATTAGGTACGTAAGTACATCATTAGAATATTAATTATTTATTAAATTAGAATTAATAAGAGATACTTTCCAACAAGCATAAAATCATTTTTTTTAACTACTAGCGGCTCACCCTCGCTTCACTCGGGTTCGCCTCTAATAAATCTCAAACAGATCCCACGGGAACCTATCATTTTCCGGGATAATAAGTAACCTGTACATGTATGTACAGTAACCTGTTGTTTGACCGGTAATATTAGGTATCAGCATGCCAAATTTTACTAAATTAGGTGCATAAGTTATTGTTGTTTAATTTTCCGAGATAAAAAGTATCTAAAATGTTGACCGGGGATATAAAGTACCACCATGCAAAATTTTATTTAAATCGGTCTTACAGTTTCGGAGATTAGCCCGTACAAACCGACAGAGAAACAAAAAAAATGGATTTGTTCTATTTCTTTTCTTACATCCCCCTGACTCGGTTTTAAGCATGTTTTTTCTATGTATATTTTTTCTATATTCGACCTCTACAGTTTTATTATAGTATAGACTAGCGACTTCCCCTCGCTTCGCCCGGGTTCGTTCCTTATATTATATGGACAATGTACTGCGATATAGAAAAGTAGATAAGTATTATAATATATATATATATATATATATATATATATATATATATATATAGATATATACACTAGCGACTCACCCTCGCTTCGCTCGGATTCGTCCCTAGCTTTATTCCCCATTTTTGATACAAATTTTCATCCTCATTTTCACTCCCTTAAAGGATGATAACAAGTATAGTATGTCATTTCCAGGGTTTCAAACTATTTTCTTATCAAATTTCATCTAAATCGGTTCAGTAGATCCAGAGATTACCCCTTGTATGTATGTGTATGTATTCAGCCCTTTTTGACGTCCCACTGTTGGGCACGGGCCTCCCTTCAATACGAGGGGATCAGGCCATAGTCCACCACGCTGGCCAAGTGCGGATTGGCGGACTTCACATATCTTTCGAAAACTTGCTAGGTTCTCTCAAACATGCAGGTTTCCTCACAATGTTTTCCTTCACCGTAAGGTAAGTGGTAATCATGTTAGAAATGATTCGCACATGAAAATATCAGAAATGCGAGACCCGGGATTTGAACCCGCTTCACTCGGTTTCCCAAGCGAGCGCGTTACCACTGGGCTACCACTGCCTTCCCCTTACCCCCTACAACGTCACAAATTCACAAACTTACAAACTCTACCACTTTATAATATGTATTAGTATAGATATCTGCCTTACTTGAGAAATGATTGATTTCCCATTCAATCTTCCATCCCCCATATTCACCCCCTTATATATGATACGTTTTCCGGGATTAAAATTATCCTATATCATTCCCAGGATCTCAAACTATTTCCATACCAAATTTATCTAAATTGGTCCAGCGGATTAAGCGTGAAAAGGTGACGGACGGACAGACAAAGTTACTTTCACATTTAATATTAATATGGATATATAAAACTGTTTTTTTTTTGTGATGCTGGTCTATCATCATCAGCTTGGGCTGAACGTTGATAAGTCAGTCAGTGAGTCGCGAGCGCGACATTGCCTTTAATATTAAATATATAATAAACATAGTTATTGCGAATGTTCATTAGGATATAGAAATACCTATACTATTTTTATGTGTTTTCCCTTGGGAATGAAAAATGTTCCTGTAGTAAAAGATATCCTTAATTTTGACCCGAGTAATAAATAATTACTACATAAAAAAAATCGTTTCAGTACTTTCTGCGTGAAACGCGCACACACAAACAGACAAATATTTTAATAACTATTATTAAGCGGTCTCTTCTTCTTTTCTGTACCTACACAATATATCTAGTGAAAGAAATGCCTCTTGAAGGGAGACATGGTGCAGTCATTTTAAAAAGCTAGTGTGAACCTTGCATTATTTAAAACTAGTAACATTGGTAGTCTATGGTACATTAGCAAAGTCTACAGTGAACAGTCACAACTCACAGTGATATCTGCCAAAGTGGAGCAATTATACAAATATGATTATGTAGACGGTTGTCAAGTAAATAATTTGTTACGAATTTTGTGTCACAATCTAGACATAATTTATTTTCTTTTCTAATAGTTTTTCTGATTACAACTGAACTAAAAGTATTTGTATAAATTGTATAAAAAAGACATAGATTGTTTATTTATTTATTGAGAAAACAACAGCATTACATGAGACAGATTAATGTAAAAAACAATGTGTACTAAAATAAAGCCAAATACACTTTTCTTCTTTTAGTAAATACATATAGCAATACACTAAAATGAGTTACCCATCAGAGAAAAAAATATATGAGATAAATTAATGTCAAAACAATGTGTACTAAAATAAAGCCACTTAAAGTTTTCTTCTTTTAGTAATACATATAGCAATACACTAAAATGAGTTACCCATCAGAAAGAAAAAAAATTGAGATAAACATTGTAAAAACAATGTGTATTAAAAAAGCCAATTACATTTTTCTTCTTTTAGTAATACATATAGTAAAATGAATTACCCATCAAGAAAAAAAACAAAACGATATTTTTTTATAACGATGAAAAAAAGGGGACAGTAAAAAATATATATGTATAAAGAGACGACCTAGTGTGTTTACACTTTGTGTGTATTTGTGTGTGTGTGTGAGCCATTAATAGGATTGAGATTTATATATTTGTGTTAAATCTGTACATTTGAAATTAAATAATATAATATTTTTCTTTAATTTTATCCTAAGTAAATACTAATAATAATTATTACGAACGACTGTGACAAGGATAACGCTATACAACTTATATAGCGCGAATAGACAATTCAATCGTTCTGTCGCGTCACTAATAAATTATAAAACAAGCTTTCTTTTTAAAGGTCAGGCTACGAATAATAATAAGATTATTGTATTCTTGAAACAAAACAGTCATGAAGTAAGAATGTTTCAAAAAAGGGTGATGGTCAGGCGCCTGGATGACTAAAGACCATATATGATACTACTGGATGTTTGAGAAGAGCTTCCCTACCTTAGAGTAAAAAATAGCCACTAATTTGTGTTAAGTTTATGTTAAGAAAACACGCCTGGTGCAATAGAATTAATGAAAAGTGATTATGGCAAATTAATACCTACTAATAATAAAAATTATTAGAATATGTTTATTGTTTTGTATAATTTCATAGATTTAAAAAATAAAAGGTTCATCTCGATTTTGTTTGTATTTGAATGCTACCTACATTAACTTTGAATGCTAGTTAAATCTAGTTAACTATGTAGTTGTATACTATTCTTCCTAGTTAGTATCAAGTATCCTGTAGATTATGGAGATTTGTTGCGGATCTTGTGGCAGCCATACAAGATCCACTTTACCGTCAAGTTTGCAGCGCGCTTGAAGTGGCGTCCAGTTTGCAGTGCATCCATATAGACCACTCACGTTCAAGTTCGCCGTCAAGTTTGTATGATGCCGCACCAGTTGAAACAATGGCGTCACCAGTGACGGCCGACGACTTAGCCATCCTACTCCTATTGCTCACAATTATGCAATCAGAAAGGAAAGATTCGCATTCAACTGGTGCGGCATCATGCAAGCTTGACGGCGAACTTTAACGTGAATGATCTATATGGATGCACTGCAAACTGGACGCCACTTCAAGCGCGCTGCAAGCTTGACTTTAAACTGGATCGTGTATGGCTACCATTATATTTTTTTCGTATATATACAACATTAATTTTTTTATGAATATTAAGGGCCTTTTCATAGCTAGTTCCTGGATAAATTCTTCATATTTTATAAAAAAATAAAATTGTAAACTCTTTAGTCTTTCAGTACTTTAATGCTCAAAAACAAAATATAATAGTTATTTAAAAACGTGTAGGTACATTTTAAAGTTTTTAATAATTATTTTTAAGTAATCAATATTATATTTTGCTAAAAAATGACCAAAAATAACAAATTTATGATGACATGTAACTTTTTATTCATTCAATGATTTAATCATATTTGACATTTGTCACTCCGTATTAGTTCACAGATAATACATGAATCGGAATTACAGTGAAAGTAACATTTTTAAAATAGGTAATAAACATTATAACGTCCTGTGTACGCTACGCTGAACTCATCGCTTAGCAAATGGCAATTGGCAATCAAATTTTCCTTAATGGTAACACTGGCGCTCCGCCACGTTTCGCTAGCCCTGGAAGTTGCGCGGTCGTCACTCGTCAGTAATTTTTATGTTCATATTCCTTTACCACGTTGTCTGAATAATTTGTATCAAAGATGAGTGCTCCAGCACCAACTCCTGCTTACAAAATCGGTATCGTGAAGCAGGTAATACAATATTACATTATTATTGGAATAAGATCATAGAGATCCCAATACCTCGTGCGCATATCGTTTGCCCTGTTGGCATCGCGTCCACAATTTTCAACACAACATTGATCGATTTTTGCTTGGACATTTAAGTTATCTTTATATTGCTTACCAGTGACATTTAAGAGTATGATAATATTATTTATTTTGAAATTTTCCGTTCTATTCGAATAAGAAAATGTAACATGGGAAACCTTCATATTTCATATTCTTTTTTGGTACTTCGTGGTAACTAATAAATGAATATTACCTAGGTATTATCCGGAGACACTGTAATCATTCGAAAGCAGCCTCAAGGTGGTCCACCTCCAGAGAAAGTAATCGCTCTTTCTGGTATCACGGCGCCGAAACTCGCTCGTCAAAGAACTCCCAATAAGTGAGTAAAGCTATAAATTATATGAAACATTACTGAAAAAAATAGCAAGCTCATTTAGAATATACTAATTTGTGCGAAATCATTATCGTTTGGTAAATAAAATATATATAATGGCCATTGAAGTGAAGGGACAGGTGATGTAACTTATGACTTTCTTTTAATTTTAATTGCTTTTATTAAAATTTTACAGTGTTTTAAAAAAATCTCAATTTGATCTGACATGTTACTATCTCATATACCTTATGCTACACATATCATATATACTGTATTATTGTTGTGGCATGAAAAATTTAATGGAACACCTGTAGGTTCAACATTATAGCATAATATGCTGACAACAACTTAAATTAACCTCTATGATTACAGTGAAATTATCATATGTTAATATATATTTCTTAAATTTATGTGAATTAAATCAATACAATCAAGTTATTGTGACAAATAAAAGTTGTATAATAGTTAAAATTGTAGATATGACTGTTGCATATTTTGTTTTTATTTATTCATTATGAACTTCATATGCTATTGCTATCTTATAAGCAGCTAAAGCGATTTTGTTTGCGAATTTGTTACTTTAATAAACATAATATATAGTACAGATTTCAGGTCTTAGGAAGGAAAGCTTGAAAAGCTAATAATAATTACTAAAATACATGGAACTATTGTGTAACTAGATTCTTTAAAAAATTATGAATACAAGTAATGCTGAAATTTATTAGTAGTATACCTAATATGACATACTTTAAAAAGGAAATTAGAAAAAAATTAAGAAGAAGAATGGAATTAAGAAAACATAAAAAAGATTCAGTAAACATATATGTATACAGATTTAGATGAAGTTTTTACAATTGAATTATTTTTATAAATGTTTAAGGAATTTGTTTATCAATATATTATAATGGTAGATATTTTCAGACAACTAGAAGCAAACTTAAAATAATTTATTGAATTCCATTAAATTAAACATGATTTAATATTTCAGTGATGGTGAAACAAAAGATGAGCCTTTTGCTTGGGAAGCTCGGGAATTCCTCAGGAAGAAGTTGGTAGGCAAAGAAGTGATCTTCACAGCAGAAAAGCCACCTAATTCTGCAACTAGAGAATATGGATCTGTGTGGGCGGGAAAGGATCCAACTAAAGATGAAAACATGACTGAAGCTTTGCTATCTGAGGGTCTTGTTAAAGTGAGAGAAGGAGGTCGCAATATACCTCAACTAAAACGACTTGTTGAAATTGAAGAGGTTGCAAGATCTCAAGGAAAGGGTATCTGGGGCTCTGACTTACAGGTAAGAAATATCTTTCCAGCAAGCAAAAAGAATAACAAAATATTTATCCATAAAAAAATTATACCTATAAACTCGAGTTTAAACATTTCTTTTATGTTGCAGAGTCATGTTCGTGACATCAAATGGACTGTTGAAAACACAAAACAGTATGTCAACAAATGTAATGGTCAACCAATAAAAGCAATCATTGAATATGTTAGAGATGGATCTACAGTCAGACTTTGCTTGCTACCTGACTATACTCCCATTACATTGATGCTATCAGGAATCCGAGTAAGTTCACTAAAATATTGACTTATAATTAAGGAAAAAATGTCATTATAAAATGTTATTTTATTTCTTTTGGATTAAATAGTGCCCTGCAGTGAAACAAGATGGTGAATCAGAACCTTATGCAGAAGAGGCTCGCTTTTTCCTTGAATCAAAGTTACTTCAAAAAGATGTGGAAGTAATTTTGGAGTCTGTTAATAACAACAATTTTGTGGGAACAATCTTGCACCCACAAGGCAATATTGCGGAGGCATTACTTAGACAGGGCTTTGCAAGATGTGTTGATTGGTCTATTGCAGTAATGAAATCAGGTAAATCAAAAATAATTAAATATTATATTGTAAAATGTTCTACTTTTTTATATTTTCCTACTTTTATCTATTTTAAAATACTTTTATAATATTAATTATAGAAGCAGTTTTGAACAAATTATTTAATGTCTAGGTGCTGCAACACTAAGGACAGCAGAACGCGCAGCTAAGGACGCTAGGCTACGAATCTGGACTAATTATACTAGCAATGCACCTGTTATTGCTGCTAAAGACAAGGAGTTCACTGCTACAGTTATGGAAGTTGTCAACGGGGATGCCCTTGTTGTGAAACTCCCCACAAATGTCCAGAAGAAAATCTTCTTAGCCAGCATTAGGCCTCCCCGTGAAAAGTAAGAATCTAATATGATTTTTTTAACAGATGTCTTATTACATTTATTACATATTCATATTAGTGTTCCTATGTTTACTTAAAAAATAAAATGTTTCTTATTAATAATATCAAATTGCTTTTAGGAACAGCCCTGATGATGAAGGCAAACAATCACCTAGGCCCAAGGGCTTCAAACCCCTATATGACATTCCTTGGATGTATGAAGCGCGCGAGTTCCTAAGGAAAAAACTAATTGGGAAAAAAGTGAATGTCATAGTTGATTACATTCAACCTGCTAAAGATAATTTCCCAGAAAAGACCTGTTGCACAGTTATGGCGGGCAATACGTGAGTGTCACTTTTGTAAATAATACTTAGTACCTGGAGTTCTTTTGTGTTATATTATATTTTTTAGATAAAAAAAAAAAACAAAAAACTTGAATAAGTACAAAAAAAAACAAAAGTAAAAACTTTGTATCTGACCGGTTTCGAACCCGGACACCTGTGATTGTCAATCTTGCCCCTTGGCCAATTTTGCCTTGAATAATGCGAAAGAAATCGCATGAAAATTCGAAACCACGCGTTTTCCCAGACAGCCGTTTCCGAGATCGCCAGTATAAATAAATAAATATACAAGAATTGCTCCTTTAAAGGTATTAGATAGATATTTATTAATGGAGTTAGTTATGTTATTTATTGTATATTTTATATGTGTTAGTTAACAAGATGAATTGTTACAGAAATATTGCTGAAGCACTAGTAAATCTAGGCTATGCAACTGTAGTCAGATATAGGAATGATAATGATCAGAGAAGTTCTCATTATGATAAATTGCTTGAAGCCGAGTTGAAAGCTCAGAAAGCGGCTGTCGGCATTCATGCTAAGAAAGATATCCCTACTCATCGTATCCAGGACACCAGTGGAGATTCTGCTAAGGCGAAAAAGTTCTTCCCATTCTTAAAGAGAGCTCAAAAAACAGAGGCTGTTGTGGAGTTTGTCGCTAGCGGATCGCGTATGAGACTTTACATTGCTAAAGAGTCTGTTCTGGTAACGTTCTTACTCGCTGGTGTTAACTGCCCCAGGGGGGCGCGTCCTGCTATCGGCGGCGGTGGCATGCAAGAAGCTGAACCTTACGGAGAGGATGCCCTGCAGTTTACGAAAGAAAAGTGTCTCCAACGTGACGTCATCGTCACCATCGAGGAGATGGATAAAGCTGGCAACTTTATTGGCTGGCTCTGGGTTGAAAATGACAACTTATCCATATCCCTCGTCGAACACGGATTGGCGTCCATGCACCATACTGCTGAGACGTCAGAGTTCGCCCGCGCTATCAAGACAGCTGAAGAAAACGCAATTAAGAATCGCATTGGGATTTGGAAAAATTATGTCGAAGTTGACAAAGAAATAGAGAAGGAGCGCAATGCGCCTATGCAAGATCGTATTGTTAAATATGAAAAAGTCATTGTTACTGAAGTTACCCCCGAGGGTACCTTCTATGCTCAAAACATTGAATTGGGTAATAAATTAGAAGCGCTAATGGATAAAATTCATCAAGAGTTCAAAAACAATGCTCCCCTGCCTGGTGCCTATGTACCAAGGAAAGGCAACATCTGCGCAGCTCGCTTCTCTTTGGATGACCAGTGGTACAGGGCTAAAGTTGAGAAGATTACTGAAGATAAACAAATCCAAATCTTCTACATTGACTATGGAAATAGAGAGGTAGAGTAGTACAGGTTTCCTATTATAATTAATTAGATAATATTAATTTAAATTATGAAAATGTCTCATGACTAATTCTAAATAACTATTCTAGGTTGTGAATCAGTCTCGACTAGCTCAGCTGCCAGCGGGCACGGAGACAGAACCGCCGTACGTGATGGAATACGCGCTGGTTTGCGTCAAGTTCTCGAGCGACCCCGACGACCGACTCGAGGCCGTGCGCGCCTTCTCCATGGACACGCTCAATAAGAAACTGCTGCTCAACGTAGAGATACGCGGCTCCCCGCCCGCCGTCACCCTCTTGGACCCCTCCACTAACACAGATATTGGCAAGGTGAGCTTCATCTGCATATTGTACTCTATTTAACTGTTTCTTTTCTCTGTTTACTATAAAGTAATAACTGTATGTAACTCTATACGGCAGGTTCATTTGTTCTATTGATTGCTCATATTTTTTTTAATGGATTTGCTGTAAAACAAGGCTATCAAAAAAAAATGGAGAACAACTTAGAAGTTAATGTGCTGTAGTGGCTCTCTTGGCACAATTATAACTCTGTCGCGGAGGTTACAGTATAATTGTTGTAAAACTATGTATAGTTATAAAACTAAACCCTAAAGCCGTTTAAAAGTGTGATATAAAAGTAAGTACACACTCTACACTCAGTGTATAATAAACATGTGTTCGTGTCTCAGAACCTGATCAAAGAGGGGCTGGTGTTGATGGAGAATACGCGCGAGCATCGACTGAGCGCGCTGGCGGGTGAGTACCGCGCGGCGCAAGAGCACGCCAAAAGCTCGCGCCTCAACCTCTGGCGGCACGGTGACATCACCGACGACGACGCCGTGGAGTTCGGCGCGCGCCGCTAGCGCGAGCTGCCCTGGTACGACGCTACCACCTCGCCCTCACACACGCTCAACTGCGCCACCTGCACCTCTCCGCATGTTGAATCCATCATATACACGGTCATATACGACTTTCTGTGAAGGCATTAGCAGACGTACCGAAACGCTCGGCAATTGAGCGATATTTAATACGTGTTATGTATCCTTCCATGATTCGGATCTGCCTTCCCAAAAATCAATTACTCTTCCTTTACAAGTTCTATAAATTTTAAATATTGTGGATGTTATTTATAATAAGTATGCGGTGGCAGCAGTCGCCTTCTGTAGTGTTTTTCTCGTGGACGCGCGATCGTGTGGCTATTCTTGTGTCCCAGATCCGGAGAACATTGGTGCGAAATACAACTGTGTAATCGAACGAGTGGCACCTTTTGCTACATTCGTACCTTCTCTGATACAATAATCCCTTTAGACATTGTCCACATATTTTTATATTTCGCTAAGACAAACTGAATGAATTACAATTATAATATATTATAAATAGTGAATTATACATAGATGAAATCGTAGAGGCGAGCGCTGATCGCGACTTGCCTAAATTTAATTTATGAAATCATATTATTATAAGAATTTCGATTGTTGTCACTATGCATTTGTACGACGTATCTATTTTACACAAATACGTGGTAATAAATGACCTCTGCTTTGAATGTTTGCTTATAACAATATCGATCTTTATCGTCTTCGTTGTCGCATACACTACACTAGATTGTATATTTTGTACCTCTGTCTAAGATGCATTCGAACTAAGTATATTGAACATTGAACTCTAATGATTAAACTACATTGTGTAATGTTAGTTAAGTGTGAACTTGATCTAAATAATATAATTAATATGGGAAGTCTGAATGTAGTGGTAATGTTATAAGATTTTTTTACTTCATTATTGTTTAAGATTTCACTGGATGCTTGTTCTTTACAAATTAAGTTTGTATTTCGTACTATAGTATGTATTGTTTTTACTGTATTTCTTCCCGAACATGTTTTTACTACATATTACAAATTTTGTTACTCATCGTGAGAGTACCACATGGTGCGTGAATTGTTACTTCTACTCTTATTGAAATAAATATTTTAGGAAATATATATTTTTTCTTCATTTTATAAAATGTGTTTGTATAATAAGTCACCGAGTTTCATATATGAACTATATAAAATAGTCGAAATAATTTTTTTATCCAATAAACATTTACAGTTAGTGTGTTGTTTGAATGTCATTGAGACATTAAGGTTGAAAGGAATCGTCAAAGATATTTATTAAGATTACAAATTTTATATAAAAAAATCAAAACAAACTTGATATGAGAACACTTAAGTTGATTCGACGTCGGTAATTTAATTACAATTATATGTGGGTGGGGTTGTGGTGAGAGGTCGCTCGGCGGTGGGGGTTGCGACGCAGTGCGCGGGCGAGCCGCTCGATATCGCGCAGTTGGCGCAGTTGACGCAGCACAAGCCGTACGTGGGAGTCCCGCAACGCGCGAACGTCCCACTGCCACCCCTCACGGCCCTCGCCAGATTCTGCGCACATGCGTTCTAACGTTAGCTCCATTATTGATCCTCTCTCCTTGCGTTATAGGTCACTAGTATTAAGCTACTGGAAATATACTAACTGATCTAATTTTACATCGACGAGCTTAATTGGAAAAAGGTATAAATAAATTTTAACATGAAGGTAGACAAATGATAGCTTAGAAATATATAAATACCGCTCGAAAACGAATAGATGTCTTCGTCTTCTATCGAGAAATGTCTGTAAAATATTTATGGATATGAATAATACTGCAAATAATGTCTGGAAGTTAACTTTTGAAATGTTGGATTAGTCTCGTGAACGACCTTTGTCTTATCTTTATACCTAGTCACATTAGAACACACTAGAATAAATGTAGCATTGTAAAGTTTTAAAGCTGAAAGCAATTGTCGATAAGATACAACAAGTACCGAGTACCACAGATCACATAATACTAAATTAGTACAGATGCCTCATCTCATACAAAGAAATTGGACAGCGCAAATTCGGGTTATTCTTCGGGCTATTTTTGTTTGCTTCAATATATAATAGATATCGTAGATTCGCAAATAGTAAAATTTTTTTATTTTATAAATATGTGCAAAGTAACAAATGGTTAATATCGTAAAATTTCTTCTTCGTAACGTTCTTTCGTATTTGAATACAACAATTTCATTGACTTCACTAATTTTAACCGTGATAAACAATTCATAAAAGTAAATCAGATGATGGGTTTGTAGTGTATATTCACAGATGGCGCTTTTGTCTGTGAATATACACTACAAACCCATCATCTTCTCCCTGGCCCCTGCCCATTTCCCAATCACTTCGGGTCGGCGCAGTACATCTTCTGTACTGCTGATAGGATTTGGCAAAAGTTTTACGACCGGCCGCCAGCCTGACGTCAACCCTCCTTGGGAATAAACCCATCATCTGATTGCTGATATTTCAATTATCAGTAAAGTTACGCAAAATTGATTTACGTATGTATTATTTCTTTTCCCTTCACTTACAATATTTTTGAAAACAATTATATACTTTTTGGGATCTTTTATATTTTGTAAATTAAACGCAACTTTAATAACAAACACACAACATTTGTTTGAACGTTTGATTGACATTTATTTGAACTAATTTTTCTCTGTTCGTGATGAGACCCCATGCTAATAGATTATAATATTCATGATCATCTTTAGTTCAAAATAAAAAGCGAAATATGGGTAATTGTTATCAAATCGTGTCTATCCAACATACTGTCACGACTACTACGGTACTTTCACCAACTGGCAGCTAGCTGTTGAATTGTATATGCACTTTCTATTTCTTTCACTTTCCTGGTCTGACGCGTGGGAGTGTAACACCGCCACTTGCCAACACTGAGTTGCTACTTACACTTTAAACACAATTTCGACTGCGGGTCAAGAGTACCTTAGAGAGGGTTGAGTATTAAGTATATTATTAACCACAACTTGGATAAAATTACTTTATACGTGTACATTTCTTTAGACTTAAGTAAAGTAAAATTTAACCTGCCGGTCGCACTTGACGTAGTTTGTATAGCGACGTCAGAATTCTTGATTTTGCCAGAGACCTGTTGCATGTGGTGTGAAGGATGGCTTTTGGCTTGATTACCGACTGACTTCATAGCGTTCTTGAGAATCAAACGCAATATCTTCTTCACGATCTTATTTCCATCATTATTTTTCACCTAGATTAATATTATTTATTAATTTACTTATAGCTTAAAATTAAGGCGAAAGTATGTTGCTTGTCTTTCATGAAAGTATTTTTATATATCTGCATATTCCTCTGGGAAGTAACATTGATGCTTATCAATGTCTGTAGGTAAGTTTTGATAGTAAAACTATAAAAGACAGGTATATACTTGCATTTATATTATTGGATGGTACAAAAATGAATCTTACTTGTGGATTAGGCAACTTTTGAATCTTATCAGATTTGTATGTTGTATATGACGTACATATTGGCAAGAGGTACAACGGCGTTGAAGGCGGTTGAGCCGAATAGAAAGCAACCGCCGGTTGTGTTTTTGGAACACTATTAAAAAAAAAAGTAATCAAGTATTCATGTACACGGTACTATTGCAGATACTATATTTTCAAGTAGAATTTTCGAGAACTAACTTCTCCTTAAAATCGGTTGTAATCATAGATCTGAGTAGATGCGGTGGGGCAGGTACTCGTACCTCGGCGCGCGACGCGGATGGGCTACGTCCGCGGCGCACTGGGCTTCCAAAACATGATAACTTTGAACTACAAATTTCATTAATTATATTAATAATGATATGCTAAGATTTAGTTATATAGATGTATATTAAAAAAATGTTTTACCGAACAGGAGAAGAACGTGAACGATGTGATGGTGAATCTGTATTATAAATATTAAATTATATTATACTTACTTACATTTCAGAAGGTAGGTATAGAAAATAGTTATTGTAGTCATAACGAACTAGAAAAAATAAAAATACTCACGAGGTAGACGCTTCCTTGCAATGTGCTTAGTGCCTGACACACACAAGCCTTGCGAAGTAGATAAGGTCATCATTTCGTCAGCAGTTACGTTCAATTCACAATTCATAGGAAAAGTTTCATTGCTATAATATTAAGTTTTAACGAACTGAAGATTACTTTAATTATTTCGTATTATCAATCGATAAACTCTACTCAAAGTCATAACTCATTTCTCATGGTTTTATAAGATTGTATGTACCTATGTCCTAATTCAAACATGGGTAACAAAATAAACATTAATTATAAAATCTTGAATCTCATCATAAGATGAGATCATTCAATAATGAATACATTACATCTCAGCTATAAGTAGGTACCTACTCACTATAAATAGTTAATTCTCATATTTACATAATATGTATATATTAATACTTAAAAACCTTCATTTCTTCTTTGAAGACACAATTTAATTTTTACAAATTTAAAGTGATCTATAAAAGTCGCTAAATGTGAGATTGAAAATGTTGACTGACATTTCACTATTTTCCTTTCCTAAAAATGTTGACATCTATACATATAATAAAATTGTAACTAAGCAGAATCTGTACATTAAATATTTTTGGAAAAATCTTATTGAAATAGACATTATAATCGATACAGAGGCCGAATCTATAGTTTTTAGAATTTTTGTCTGTCTGTCTCTCTGTAACCGCATCACAGAAAAACTACTGGAAGGATTTTAATGAAATTTGGTATCCGGGATACTTTTTACCACGTATAGGATACTTTTTATATTATTGGTATAGGATACTTTTTACCACGTAAAAAATTTAGTAGCTATCTATTCACTCTTGCCTTGAAAACACCCATTTTGTAATCGGACGGAAACACCGACGCCGGCAGGTTGTTCCAATCCTTAGCCGCACGTATAATGAATGATGTGTACTTTCAAGTTGGTCCTATTTTAATTTGAAAAAGAAATACCACTCCCAAGCGTGCAAAAATTGCTAATGATAATTTAACCTACTTCTAATTGTCATATTGGCTTGAAACTTTGCAAGTGTTTCTATTTCCGTTGATGGTGCAGTGGTTTGATATCGTCGACCTGATCTGATGGTAAGGCCAGAAGGTGAATAGGTGGAACTCTTCAACGGCTAATAGCTAGTAGATACTTTGAGCTTGGGCTTATTTTGTTTGATTTAACAAGCCCAATACGTTACTATTGGAGTTTAGAGCCAGATTTTTTAGGATTACTAGGAATCATAAGATATTTTTATTTGATGTAGGTACGTATAGAACAAATATACTTTTTCATTGTTGTAAACATAACTTAAAAAACAATGTACATCCTTAGTTGACTAAGTTGGCTAAAATAACAACATAATAGATACTGTGGATATAAAAGACATTTTAATATTTTAATAACAACATTAACAAAGGTGAAATAATTACTGATATGTTATAACACATGTTTTTCTTCTACTACACATGTTCTGTTTCAGCAGCGGCTATTTCGAGTAAGCTAGTATAGCAACCAGAGATGAGACATGCAAGGCCGATAATCATGATGAATATATCGCGTACAAGCCGGTAGTGACACAAGCCGTAGCTGGTCGGATACCACACGCATGCATCCATCAGTGCTGGGAATACCATAGCCAACAGCGACAAACATAATGCACCAAATAAAGCTATAAATGGTCCCAGTCTAGGCACCGCTACTGCTGTTAACCCTGAAAAATCATGTACAAAATAATGCAACAATACATTTATTTGGGAGTTGGATTTAATTGGTTTTGCACATTTCTATACATATAATAAAATTCTAACTAAGCCGAATCTGTATATTAAATATTTTTTGGAAAATCTTATTGAAATAGACATTATTATCGATACAGAGGCCGAATCTATAGTTTTTAGAATTTTTATCTGTTTGTCTGTCTGTTACCGCATCACGGAAAAACCACTGGAGGGATTTTGATAAAATTTGACATGATGGTAGCTGGTTATCCGGGTCAACATATAGGATATTTTTTACCGCGGGAAAATATCTCATTTCTGAGAAAAAATACAAAAACTGCGTTGTAAGAGTATACTAATATGTAAAACCTAAGAATTTGTTTTTTAGACATCTGAACGCGGGCGGAGCCGCGGGCAATGCTAGTCTTCTTATAAAGGCACTTACATGGTAAAACAACGAGAAATATTCGCAGCACATAATCAAGAGCACTTAGACTTCTTCCAGTAAATGTTTTATTTAACTTTCGAAAGATTATGTTATAAGCTACAAAATTTTGTAGTGGGAATGTCAGAAATATTGAAATTGCAAATAAGACCTTTGCTGCTTGAGCTTTCCTGAGAACAAGTAAATGCTAATCATCCATATATAGATCGTTATAAACAATTTTCTGAAAATTACAATGATAATTGTATTATATGCATTGATATACTCACTTTTGATCTTGAGGTAAGTTTAAGGTCAGCGAAGCTTTTATGGCATCTCCGTACTTAAGGTAGCCAAAAATCCCCATTAATAAATAAAGCGCCATAATAATTACCATGCCGATGTTAAAAAGACCACATAATCCCACAAATCTCTTTGGTTTTTCCATATTATACTCTAATGCTAATACCTTTACGTAAAGAGTTTTTCATTAGGTAGGTAGTACTATATACAAGTCAGTGCAATTGGAATCTTAAGACTACAATTAATAATAAACGTATCAAAGAAAATATACCACTCCAACAGCTTCGAGTGCAAACAAAGTAGTGCCAATGAAAACTGGGATATCAGTTAAAGATTTAAGCTGTAGTTTTTCTTGTTCTACGGTAACATCGTCTTCAATAAGGTAGAAAAAAACTAGAATAAACCCAAGCATTGTGACTAAATTTGAAATAGATGAGAAAGGAGTTAATAACTTTAGATCTTTCACAAGTCCCATAATCGTAAGTGGTATTATCAGAAAACACAGATGCATTCGGAGTGGCATTTCCTGACCGTGATAGTCACAAACCTGCAATATAATGCGAGTCATAGGTATATTTGTTAGAATGGTAGTAATTACATAAAAGAGCAATCCTAATACGTGCCTGTTTAATATTTTCTGCGACAAAAACACAATAGATGCAGCAAATTCCAAGCTGCCACATGATGAGCACCGCGTCAACAAAATAATATAGTGTCTTCGCCGCCCATCGCATGCATGGAGGTCCATTTTGCAAAGCTAAAAGCATAGACTTTGGGTACGCCAAGTATCCACGACGGCATCTCTTACACAGCTCATATTGCGCTGCAATCTGATATTGCATTAATATGCAATTTAATAATTTAAAGTTCATGATAAAAATATGTAATATACCTAATTAGAAAGCGATAATCACTAAACAATCAAAATATATTTTCTTTATTTTTAAATAAAATTCTTAAAACAACACACTTACAAGAAGTTGAACACAATAGGTAGCAAAGAAGCCAATTAATAGGATACCGAATATACTCAAAATTATCCCTACTCGTCCCACAGCATCAGCCATGGCCAGAACTCCCGCACCGATGCTGCCTTTGAGCAAGTGCATCATAGTGTCCGAGTAGCTGACAACAGAAGCACATGTCACATGTTGCTGAATATATCTTTTAACTTAACAGAAGATCAATCAAAGAATGAATTTGCTTAATATTATCTACTTAAAATAAAATATTTAATGTATTGTGTACGTTCTCTAATAGGTAACTTTTTATATTTTACTAACGAGGTAGGCTTGTCAACTTTTCTGTGTTCGTGTGGATCAAAAGATTCTTCTTCTTCTTCGCCTGCAATTATAACTCGTATTGAACCGTGGAACTTTATGGTAAAAGATAAGTTAAAATAAAGGCTTACCACCAGTAATTTGGTCCACAATACCGGCCATAAACTCGTACACAAACATTTTATTTTATGTGTTATATAGATTCTAACAAATAAAAAGCCTAAAAATGTAAATAAAAGTACTAATAAATATAAAAATATTTTATGAATAGTATATAATAAGCTTGACGTTGCTCAAGTATTGTATTGATAGGTCCGTGATAATTTTGGACATTTAATGACATCTATATACAAGTCATGAAACAGAGTACTTACAACTTCTTCTCTAAAACGAACATATCAGAATATTGTACTTTTTCGTAATTTCATGTATAACACAACAGCTTGCTTATTTCCATTTCTAATTTATGAGTTCTTTTGGATATATACTATTCTGATAAATTAGTGTAATTTCCAACCGATATTTAATTTGATACACTGAAGGATAACAATGGCATGAAGTTAATTATTCACAATTGTATCTGACAAGTGCACTTTTTCTTTCCTTCCTTTAACTTAAGATACATGAATGCAAACGCATCTATGAGAAAACCATCTTTCTTTAAAAATAAAAAAGGAACGAATAAGAAATAAAACAAGTGATTTCACAAAATTATATAATGAAATTTACTAAAGTATAATTCAGAGTTACATCGTTTCTAATATAATATAATGTTATAGTAGAAGTGTCACAAGCAGACGCCAGCGGGTCCTTGAGCACCTCATGTTACTCTATGGTGCCACCAATATATGTTTTGTTGAGTTTACATAATAACATATTTAAAACTAATCAAAGTACTACTTATTGTTATGTTGTAAAGGGAAAGCGCATTGACACTTTTGTCCGCGAGGTTAACTATATTGTTCGCATATATAAAAAAATGGTATCTAGCAGTAGATAAATAATCGTTAAAGCCGCACTGGATTGTGGGTTGCTGTATTGTTTTATTTTTGTCGAAATAGATAATTTCAGCCACTGTGTGCAGTGTGAGTATTTAAAAAACCATTTCGTTTCATATTTCTTCTGTTACATAAAATCTTCAAAAATATTATGTATTAGATTAGACTGATTAAGTTAAAAAATAAAATTACCATCGCAACTATTCGCAACAGTTACATAAATGATCACTGCTATAAAATTATATAAATTAATAATAGGGTACATGCGTGTATTTATTTAATTAAATAAATTTACTTTTTACACCGCTATAACATAGTAAAAATATAAATACTGTTTAAAAATGCTGTAATTAAGATTAAAAAATATTTCAAAATAGAGAATAATTTTGAGCTGTTTGAACGCCGTTTTCGCGCGCTCTGTAGATAACGTCAAATACTATGTCCAGTCCATTGTTTCCTACAGGTGTTCTCGTTCTCACTCATTTCATCGTAAAAAAAGCTCAAAAAGTCAGTTTATAAGTATCGTATTGTGTCTGGATGCAAAAACACTATCAAAAGTGCACATGATTAAGTGTTCTTTCCAGTCCCGCTGGGTGTAAAAATACGTAAGTAATGGTGTAAGGTTATCAGAAGAGATGAAGTATCTGCAACAACTTGTTTACATTGTTGTAAAGATCACTTTAAGTATGACGTATTTCGATGCCTAATATGATTTCAGTTAATTAGAAGTGAGTTTTGTGTTGAAAATCAATCACACAAGCAGTAGATCACTGTATCTGAATCAAGTTTACAAAGTTTCGTAATTTCGTCTATGGTTTTTACGTAAACAAAAAACAATAAAACATGAACTATTCAGCTCTGTTTCTAAATTATACCACAGCAGAAACGAGAGATACCTTCACACACGTTCATTCCTTGATTTGTTATAACTTCTTATAGATTTTGTTTTTATATTTACAATACATCTTTAATAACAGCATAACATTGTGCTTTTATAAAACCACTTTCAGTCAGTGTCTTAAATGATTTTTAATCTCACTGGGATGCTAAAATTACACTTAAACAATAAATGAATGTACAATACACACTACAATGTTCCTATCCAAAAGCCTGCAATGCCATGAGCAATACAAACTTGTTGACAAAGTATTTGACGTCATGTTTCGTTTTAACCAATGGTATAGCGTTTTACAAATTTTAATAATAATAATTTTAAATAATTAAAAAAAATGATTACTAAAATAATGGTTTGGTTCAAATGTCCTGCCAATAAAGATTCGAAATAAAAATATTTGAACAAAATTTAAATTACTTGCTTATTCCCTATTGTGTATAAGATTTAATGATTTATGAAAAGTAACCATTGCGATATAAATATATATTGTGGCGTCTAAATTATGAAAGTCTAGTCACGAATGGGGACGCGGAGAGAACAAGAGATGGGGATGCGAGAAGAGGAGACTCAAGCGGAGAGCAGAGCAGTGGAGGCAGTGTGACGGAGAGAATGAACGAGACAAAACAGTGGCACTCATGTCCAACGCGGGGACTTGATCGATAATACTAACGACTTATGTTTGTCATAGAATACCTATATAAAGAGTTCGTTACATTTTTCTTAAACATCTAATTTTCCAATTTGGTCACAAATTAAGATAAACTATAGCTCGCTAAACTTATTGATATATACAGTTTAGTATTTTTTAAAGTAACGTACACGTTTTAAATTAAGAATAAGCACGGAATATTATATTAAGCAAAAATCACAGACACTTTCCTTACATTTTGCCACATACGGGCTTTGAAATTTTAAATGGATGACTTCATATATAGTAATTATTCGACAGTAAAATTTCGCGACATTATCAGGACTGTCGCAAAGTTGAAGTCTAAAAAGATGAATAGTGTTCGTATCTATGGTAAGTTAATACCAATACTTTCCTGTCATATTACACTTGAGTGAGGCATCTTTAAATAAAGAACTACCATATCGCATGTATGCCAATACGGCGGAAGCCTAAGAGCTTAGCATGTTCCAATGTAATTAACACTATCTTCCAAGAGTTGACACAAATCGAACATGACAGATATGCGGTAGGTAGTTCTATTACATATTAAAGAAATGCGCTTCAAAGTATACAATTACAGCTACTGAGTGAAAACAAGTCGCGACGTCCGAACTGTTACAGACATCAACGTAACAGATAGGTGGGCACATTGACTATAATACGATGCTATGCGATGCTATGCTAGTAAAACTAAAGCTTATTATAACCTCAGGGTGAGCATAAGCGCAGCCAGGAGCGAGCGAGTCACGTGACCAGCCCGACCTTGTTGTTGGCTTTCGTCTCGCCATACACTTTTAGAGGATTGCAAAGAAAAATATGTAAATAAAAATGTACTTAACCGGAACTGTCCATGCTTAAATCAGTGTTAACACACTTTTAAACATTAGCTTGCAAAATCAATGTTTCTACAACTATGACTTTCTAATTTCGTTACACTTTCTTATTTAAAGTTTTTAAGCTCTTTTTATAATATTGGAGCATAAGTTCGCTTTGGACAGCCTCGATTCAGACATAAGGTACGTAACGATACAAATATGGAATCTTTACACAACTTCTTTGGATGAAAGAAGTAGAGCGACAAACTGATCGTCCGTGGCATCCAGTCACATTTAGTCTCCAACGCCTAATAGTTCGTCAGAGTCTAGTAGGCAGAATGTGGGGAGACGCGGCAGGTGGCGCGGGGCGGCGGGTCAGGTGTCGTTGGGCGAGCGCAGCGAGTGCAGCGCATTGCCAAGACCGGAGGGTCGCCGCCTCTCTAGGAACGTTTTCAATTGGCTCGCAGACAGTGTCACGTTGTCCGCCTGAGAAAACAATATACATAAGTGTTCTAAAACATGTCTGATGTAAAATAAAAAGTAAGGTGTACTAGCGACTTGGTGTTTCGATGACCTAACTGCCTATGTGTCATTTTTGGTTATAGTCTGTATTATATGTATTTAACTATTTTTAACAATCGCACTTTTGGGCGCGTGCCTCCCTTCAATACGAAGGGGTCTTAGTTTACCCTGCTTTACAAGAGTGGATTGGCAGAATTTTCATGTCTCTTGAAATTTCCTAGGATCTCTCAGATATACCGGTTAAGTCAAGGTGTTTTTCTTTATCATAAGACAAGTGGTAGGCACATTGAAAATCTTTTACAACATAAAAATATCAGAAGTGTGCGACTCAAGATTTGAACCACTTTTTAATTAATTATTTGATCTGTTTGTGTTCTACATTTAATACAAGTTTCAGCGTGAAGGAGTAACAAATACACGTATGTACATACGCACACACGCACACAGTTAAGCGAATGCAATATGACGCACCTCTTCGAACCAGGGGTCGGTGAGCGCATCGCGCGGCAGCAGGCGGCGCGTGGGCGCGGGCTCGAGCAGCCGGCGGATAAGCGCCTGCGCGCGCTCGTCCACGCCGCGCCAGTGCTCCGGCGGGAAACAGTAGTCGCACTTAATGATGTTCGCCGTCGTTTCCTCGATTGACTCGTCTAGGAACGGCGACAGCTGCACACAATAATTTGTGTCAAAATAACATGAACAAAATATATTTAAAAAAGGAATAGGTACAGACTTTTTAGTTATTAACTTTACATTGACGTCCAGTAAAAGTAAACAACGGTTTCTTTTGTTAACGTTGAAATGACGGAAATAATTAAAAGATAACTAATGTTTAAGTTAAGTAAAATTTATAATTAAATGTGTAATAATAATGATATCATTTTCATATCTTATCCTGTATACACTTACCCCTGTTAAAAATACGTAAAGGAAAACCCCGGCGGCCCACGCATCCCAGGCGGGCGCGGGCGGGCGGCCCATCACATACTCAGGTGGCGCAAACTCCAGCTGCGCGGGCGCGGGCGGCAGCACCGTCGCGCTCTCTGCGCCTGCGGCCATCACGCCCGGCCCTTCCAGCTCCACGGCTGAGCCCAGGTCCACTAGCTTCAACTGCGGCTGAGCTCCGCCCAATTCGACGAGAATATTTTCCGGCTATCGTAATCAATAAACGCAATTTTTATTATAATACAATTTAACCTCGCTTCGCTTTGTCCCTAGTTGTATTTTGCTATACATTTTATTATATTATTTCAAGTCGTTTAGGCAGCACACGCCGATTTCAGTTTTCTTCCGTTTCAGTAGTTAGTAAAAGAATTTTCAGAGTCAAATCTGTAGTTTCATGGATTATAATTCTATGCATCCTAATTTAAATTCCGTGGACAGACTCTGTGAACTTCACCTCACTATATAATTAGTGTAGACTTAGTTCGTCTATTATAGCTAAATATGTATAGTGAGAACATGATCGTACCCGAACATCTAGATGCGCTACATTGTTAGAGTGTAACCAGTCGAGTGCGGAGAGGAGGTGTCGCGTGTGCTCGGCGACGGTGCGCTGTGTGTAGCGATCGGGGTGCGCGGCGGCCCAGTCCAGCAGCGCGCCGCCCGCCACCAGCTCTAGCACGAGCGTGTGCGCACCAGCGCGCGGCACCTCCGCGAACAGCGCCAGCGCGCGCACCACCGCGCCGTGCGCGCCGCCCGACAGGATGCGATACTCGCGCACCGCGTCCGCGCCGCGACCGCTCACCACCTAACAAGTTGGGTGGTTATTATCATCTTTATCATCATTATTATCTTTTCATCTTTCAGTTCATTTGGAGTTATATTAAGTAATCATGTAATTTTAGCGTTAAGCTTAATATTTTTCATTATTAATTTTCTTTGTTAATATTTACTTTTAAGGTCAGTCTTTCTATAATTATGCATGCGGGATTTATTGTTGTAAGTAAGATGCCATATCAACTACACACGATATACGAACGGCACTTACATAAACTAATAAAAAAAATACAAATTAATGTGAACCTGTTTAAGTGCGACCCTCTGACCGGTCCCCGTATCTCGGGCGGCTAGAACGCGAGCGGTCCGGCCGCGGCCGATCTCTTCTTCGAGAGTGTAACGCCGTGCGAACTGCTCGCGCTGCCAGCTGCCGCCGCCACCGCAGGTCGCGGGGCCGGACGCCGCGCCCGGCGCGCCGCTCCTCGCGCTCACCACTCGGAAGCTGTACTGCCCGGCGGGTAGTTCCTCTAGGGCCAATGTGTTGGCGGAGGCGGGGGTCTCTGTCGCGCGACGCCACTCGCCCTCGCCGACGCGGCAATACTCCAGGTGCACGGGCTCGGGCTCGTCCCAGTGCACGACGAGGCCGCCACCGGGATGCGCGCGCACTGCGGGCACGCCCGGCGCGCCGCCCGCGCCCACGCTGAGGCGCGCCGAGCTCTGCACGCCGCCGAGCTCGTTGCTGACGAGACAGCAGTAGACGCCGGCGTCGGAGGGGCGGCACGCGTGGATGGTGAGCGAAGCGAGGCCGTCGGGGGCGAAAGTGATTACGAAGCGGCCGCCGTGGCGCAGCGCAAGAGTCTCAGGCGCGGTCTTGCGCCAGGAGGCGGAGGCGCGCGGCGCGAACGCGCGGCACGAGAGCGTGGCGCTGGCGCCGGCCGCCACGCTCACGTCGGCCGCGGGCTCCGTCAGCTCGGGCGCGCGCAGCTCCGTCACGACGCCCTCCGTGGCGTCGGCGGTCGCGCTGCTGCCACTACCCCCGCCACCGCCGCCTCGGCGCAACTTCAACCCCCAGGCGCGCTTTGACAATCCCTATACATATGTTAACGTTCGTCACAAAGCTTATAATACTGTCGAATTATCCAAAAAGCATATCATGCAAGCTCACCCGTACAGTCTGCTCAGTCGGCTGGCCGATTATATAAGTTATACACTTATTCCTATTTACAATAAAAAATAATAAACATTTTAAGGTCAACGCTGTATCACAAAGCACATAATCACAGTCTTGAGTGAGTCAACTCGCCCCTTTATCACAGTCTATGTTAAAAATGCATTCTCGTGTATATCATACCTATAACAAAAGAAATAAAATACAAGCGTTAAATAAGAAACCATGCAAATAAAGAGAAAGAAGGACAATATAATACGTATGTTATACTTCTACCAGTTACGGATAATATTATTAAGACAGCATAGATAAGAATATATGTAATCGCAAAATTCTTAAACAACTGATTATTCTATACTTGTGTCGTGTTCCCAAATAACATTAAATACAAAGCGAAGTTCAGTCATGAAAAAAACAAATTAGGGCATTAGGAACGGTAAGTGGGTATTTTTCTAAAATTGTTATTTATATCTTACTATAATTTATGAATTAAAGCTCAAATTACAACAAGGATACCCAAGGTTATATTTATAAGAAAAGGGATAAGCAGCAGAAGCATGCGTTAAGCGAAATTTTCCCTAAATATGTATACCTAGCATTAAAGGAACTTATTACAGAAATATGACTGCAACTCAATCAATTCATTTATTATTTAGGATTTATAATATTTTATACCTATTTGTTTAGTTGTTATGTAATATCATAATATGGTTAAGATTTAAGGGAACATTTAGTTCTTCCTTTGTAGGGAGAAGTGGTATGAAAGGGACACGTATTGAAAGGGACGATTTAAATAACTGGCAAAATAAAAACAATTTCGGGTCAACACTATATATGTCGTAAGACAGTCCTGATAAGCTTTCGTTCACGACTAACTTCACACTGCTGTCATTTCAATGTTGGCGTAGTCGTGTAACTGTTTTTATTGACATTGAAAAGTATTTTGTCTGTTATAATAACGAAACGTTTTGCCAAGTGCTGCGTGTTAATTATTTATTTGTTATCCACTGTTTATGATCAGCTAGAGATCAACAGATACGAGGACAAAAAGTCAGTACATTTTAATCTAAAATTTCAAATTTTGTAGTTATGTTTTCAATTTCGGTATGATATTTATGAAAGGGACACAATAAACGATTATGAACTGGACGTTTCACAACTGCTATTTTTACAGTTTTAAAAATGCCACCTGTCTAATTAGCTTAGTTGTAATAGTTTGTCAATAGATGGCGTTACGGGTAAGTTAAAAGAGAGCGCGTGTCGATGCACACAAAATTGAAGATGCGGTGAATGAAGTAATATAGAACGGCATCTCTATCAGATTGGCTGTATAGATGAAATTTTTTTAACTTCTTTTGTGACAGACCGACCGACCGACAGTCTCTTAAAACCCCTACTGGTTCTGCCGAGAACTCTTACGAATATTCTTCCAATGAAGAAGAACTACCTAAGTTTATTACTTTTTTAACCGACTTCCACAAAGGAGGAAGTTCTCAATTCGCCGGAATATTTTTTTATGTATGTTCACCGATTACTCGAAGACACCTGAACCGATTTGGATTTTTTTTATTTCAAAGGGTATACTTCCCTGGTGGTCCCATATAAATTTTATTGCAATCGGTTCAGCGGTTTTAAAAAAAATCAATGTTTCAATCAATTTGATTCTGAAACATACCTAAGTAGTTATTGTACAAATACTTCATATTTTTAAAACCTGTGTAGCAAAGTGTAAAGTGATTTTCCTTGATATTATGTACTGTCCCTTTCATAAACTATTGTGTACTTTCAATACAGGCTATTATTGAATGGGACAAAATACACATTTTTTTAAGATGCGGAATTAAATAACTAAGAATAAAGAAAAGAGAATTAGTGCATTATTTCAGTAGTATAATAATAGAGGCTTCCTATTCGACTTCAACCAGTTCCAAATATTATCTCAATCACTTTCTAGAGCCTCAATATCAAAAATATCCCTTTCATGCCACCTCTCCCCTAATAAAAATCCCAAAAATGTTTATAAAACTTTAATTGTAAATCTAAATAAATTAAAATGTTAGAGCATTTTCCTTTTTCTTTAAGATTTATGATCATTAAGATCTTATGCATTCCGTAAATAAAAAATGCACCAACTTCCTTATATAGAAATTAATTATACAAAATATACCTAATTTAATTACAAATATATACACCAACTATTGCTTCAATAAACGCATCAGTATTTATTTAATACACGATCTATATACATACTTATATACTATTCACAATATTACACGATGATGATTATATCTTATTCCTGACATGTACGAGTTACCATTTTTTTTTGATATTGAAATGTTTAGCCGTTTCCGAGAAAATTATGTTTTATGGTATTGGGAAGCTGAAAATCACCCCCAACTTCAAGTGGATGTATACATTTAAAAAAAGTCGTTCACTTTTCAGATAGGGCTCATTTTTATCGTCTTGAACTCTACTTTTTGGAGAAACTAAAATAATGTATGGCCTAAACATTTCAATTTAAAAAAAATGGTTATTATAATATGTATTTTAAAAATTATATTCTCTTAGTTACATGAAAATTAAAAACTTATTGCAGAATATAGAAACGAAAAAAATTCAAAAACGGGTTTTCTGCAAATATCTCGAAAGCTTAAAGAGGTTATTGTAAAAAGTGTCATCTATAAAAGTTGTAGATTTAGACTAGACCTACAACTTTTATTCAGGACATTTTTCAACAGGACGTCTCTGTAAGCCGGAAATTGAAAAAAAAAACTATCTTTCAACGTTCCCGACATCGGGAGCATTTTGCAAATTTTTGTTCTTTATATACCTGGTAACGTTTTAAAAACATAAAACACGTTTTAATTTTAATGTTCCCAAGCCGGATTCCGATCGGACTAATAAGTAATAAGTTTATTTTAAGTAATAATTTAGTAGACTTACGTTATGGTGTTGCGGCGACGTGGGTGTGCGGGGTGTGGTGGGTGCGGGGGGTGCGGGGGCTTTCTTGTGGTCGTCGCGCGCGCTGGAGGGCAGGTTGATGGTGTTGGCCTTGCAGTGCGCGCGCTGCGTGCGGCCGCGCAGCTCGGGCGCCAGCCTCGCGCCCGCCATTGGCGGCACACTCTCAGTCTTGCGGAGCCCGCACCACCCCTCACTCACGCTACACGGACGGCAATAGGATGTATAAATAAAAATAAAAAAATAATAATAAATTAACTAAACAAACCCATAAACTTTAAAGTGTATCTTTAAAGTGTATTTTAATTTTATTATTATAATTACTCAAAATGATTTATAAGATGTGATCGTATTTTTGATTAAAATTAAAAATAGAGGGGGTAAACGTATTAAAATAAAAAAAACTTCTATGAATATCTACTGCTTAGAATATTTCTTTTAAATAATTTTGTTTTACCACTGTTTTTAGAGTAAATAATTTCTTATTAATATTTGGCTTGAGTATATTTACTTTTATGCATTTATCTTTTATTACTCAAATCAACTGATAGATAGAACAAATTTAGTCTAATAGAATTATGTTAAAGCGTAATAGCTTCAGAATTTCGGCTTTGCAATAGCGTATTATTAACTGGCCTTAATAAAACAAAAGAATTCAATAAAATAATTTAAATTAAAAGTAAAAAGCATGCGGGGCTAAAAGCATTAAACCACAAGCGTTTTTATTCACATTTATTGGTTACTTGTGTAACATAGTCACATAGTACAGTGATGATAAAATGTTAGACTATTTACATGTTCATAGCTAAGTGAATAATATATACAAGAGGGTTTATAAAATGATCAAGCATAGATTTAAGTTGTTTTGAAAATACAATTGTTTCGATAGAGATTTGGAAAGATTATACTATATAGTAACTAATATATAGAAAACAATTTGAGTGATAAACATTTTTAGGAATAGTACCTATCATCTACAACTCTAACCAAACGTCTTAGGACAGTACGCCGAGAGCTTATAAGAAGTGCATGATCGTACAAAGCCATCGTACAATTTTATGGATGCTATATAATAAAAAAAATCACAGTCAACTAAAATGTAACAATGAACACAGTGTTGCCTTATGGATAACAATACAATTATTAAGAGAAATCAAATTGTACTTTCCAAAGTATTCTTGTACATATGAAACTGCATAAAGCTATAATATCAACTGGATCATTGTTATGAATTCCTTAATATTTAATAATCTTAATTTTGCACCAATTTTATACAATATTCTTCGCCAGATGGAAGACATCACGACTTAGACTTACGCCAGCCCCGAATAAATTCGAACATTACAAATAAGTAAGACCTTTAGATAATCTGTCATTAAGTTACTTTCCTTCTACTTTCCATAAAAATAGTTATTTTTGTGAATGAAAATTTATAAATAGTTTCTAAAGAGCAAAATAACAGTATACAATAATGATAGTAGGTAGGGAGTACATAGTTAAACATTTCTTACAATATTGAACATGGAAAGCACATTGCAGTTTGTAGTTTCTCTTCTAGTATCTAGCTATCCGAATACACCAATGCGTATAAATATGTTCCTTCCGGAGAGAATGAGACGAGAAGAGTCGACGCGATGGACGTATTATTTTTCCAGTCTTGCATTCGTGTACTCAGTCGCTAACATCGTATTTTATAAAAATTATTATATACCTACATATTTTCGCCAAAAACTTGTCACCTTAAGCTACTATAAATAACGCAAACGGAAACAGTCGTGTACAAATAAAATTGGCCCCATTCATTTAAAAATAATAGTCAGCCTAACTTCATAATCAAATGAACCACCGCATGATCTCTCTGTTGGGGACAAGGATGATAACATTTAAATGCCAATCACAAACACTACATCAAAAATATGATTTATTTCGATCTAAATGTAACCATTGCCGTAAATGAAGTGTAGTCATTTAAATCCACTAAATGAATGTGAGAGCAATATTAAATTAATAATAATAATAAATGAAAGAAGAGATCTATAAGTGTAATGAAAGTAGATGAGTGACTGAGGAAACATAACTTCACTCGCAGCTGAGTTTTGCTATTTTACTGACCCGTACCAAGTGATCGAGTAACGCAATCTTACCGTATTTCATACACAACTCATACATATATTCATTTTCACCCAGGTTATATTCCCAGTCTTCTTTAATTTCTTCTTATCACTATGCGAATTGAGTATCAACGTTTCTATAACTATTGCACTAAACTACAGGAGGAGAAACTATTATTTTCGGTATAATTACCAGTAAATTCATAAATTAAATAAGTTTCTATTTAATAAGTATTAGTAGTCAGCAAAAATTATTGCTGTGTGTCACAAAAAAATAATCTTTGTTGATATGTCTGTGCTGCTGTTATATTAAGTACCTAACGGTGCTGTTAATACTCGCTAGAATTAATAATAGTTAGATCTAGATGTTCGTCACCTATTGTATAAAACACGACGTATTGGAAGTGAGTAAGCCAAAGAGTTTAGTATATAATTACGCAGTATTTGAATTATTCAGAAGTGAGCCTCTTATACAAAGGTGTAAAAAGATTTTGAAGCACAAAATAATTAAAGTATTAAATAAAATGGTCCAATTGTAATAACTATTATAAGCAATCACTAGCGGTATAGTGGTTGAGGTTAGTCACTCCCAATATACAATAAAAAGCGAGAATGTTATTAATAATATAGCTAATTACGAATCAATTCCAAAGAGTCTTAAAGTCTAAAGGATTAACTATGACGTAACAGTATAAACTACGCTAATAAGCTATGCTCCGATGTTACGAGTAACGAGATGGCAGTCATAATTATTGCGATACTTTTACAATTATTTGTTTAGGGGTTACATATTAAATAAGTACTTAACATAATTATTATAATGAATTTTCGTCGAGATGTACGTTTTCTGGCAAAACTCCTTATTGTTTGCTACAAAAAATATTAATTATTGATTAATTGTATACCATGGCAGCAAAATATAAAAACAAAGTACATTTCGTGATAAAAATAATTAAGCTCTTGACCTGTAAAAAGATTAAAATATTTCCACGATAAGATATTTATTACGAAATGTACAGAGTTTATAAAGAGGATTAAAATATACAAATATACTAGATATAGAATTGAAATAATTTTATAATGGAATATAATGAAATACTTGATTGAATATATTAAATAAAATATATAAAAACAATAAATTTATTAGCGCTATAAAGTTATCCAACACAAGATACAATAAGGTGAATATTAGAAGCTGATTATGGCTACTTGGCGTGACCTCACACTGTTGCCATGGCAACGATAAATAAGGTAAAATAAACTCTATTTAGTGAAAGATGAAAGTGTTGTAAGAACAATGTGACGTCACGACGGCGTTAGGGTGATAGCGGTGGCGGTGGCGTTAGTGTGATAGCAGTAGTGTGATAGCAGTAGTGTGATAGTCAGGGCTGCCAGATCGTATATGTAACTGGATACGAAAATTGTAAAATATAGTTATTTTATGTACATATATTTCATTTTTATTGAAATTTTTTATTCGTCACAGACAATTTCTCCACAGTTTTATTAATTTGTATAATAAAATTTGATTTGGTATAATTTGAGTGACCCAGCGGTATAAAATAGGTTGGTTCTACTGGCAGCAGTTGTCTGTACTGGCTCCCCCCCTACGTGCGTTCACCTTGTCGTGGTGGGGGGGCTCAGTAGTGCCCGGCAATACAGCCGGGCGCGAAGCCAAGAAACGCATAGGGAGGTGGCCCACTTCGGTGGGCGGTGGAAGGCTACCCTCTTCGGAGGGCGGTGTTCCATGCGGGTTGCTCCTGGTACTTCTGTTATAGCAGAGTGGACCTTGGAGCAACCCCGTGGTTGTTGAGGTCTGCTTCGGCAGACCTGCCGTCGGGGCATCGTAGTTGAATGCGTAAGCGATCCTGCGACGCCCCATTAAGACGGGGGAAGGCTTTGTTGGGTTTTAGTGGGTAGTACTGGTTTCGCCGGTGAGTCCCATACCTCGTACGTAAATGCATTTCCCAACGTAAAAAAAAAAGTTGTCTGTACTGGCAGCCCTGGTATGATGGATAGTACATCGGGTGAGTACTTACGCGGCCGCGTCTCGGTTGAGGAAAGCGCTGGGGTTCTCAAGGCGCTCGCCGAAGATGAGTTGTGACTGCAGTATGGTGGATAGAGTCGTGATCCAGTGCTGGCAACGCGGCTCCGGCGCGCGGCACAGGAACGACTGCTTCGGCTTATTGGACCCCAGTGCGTGGATTATGAACGAGTTGCTACTCCCCTCAATTTCTTCAAGGCTCATTTTGTTCACCTGCAACGTCATTGGGTTTTTAATGTCTTTAATCATAATATTGAAAATGTGGAAACATTCATGTTCTTATTTTGTTACAGATTATAACTCGTTGTAATTATGTAATAATAGTAATAATATGCTGGGACATTAACACACATCACCACCAGCTAGTTCCATAGTAAGCTACGAGGCCTGTGTTATGGATACCAGATAGTTGATACACTACACATATATAACTTTAGATACATACATATTACAAATATTAACAACCATAACTGGAGTACAAACATTCGTGTTCATTACACAAATGAATGCCCCCAGCGGGAAATGAACCCGCGCCCAGCAAGTAGAGTCACTGCAAATAGCGCCAAACGTGTCGTCAAATCAATTGAACAAATCATATTTTAAGTCTTTTTCTAAAATAATTGTCGTTAAAAGTATATCAAAACTTAAAGTATCTCATTTTAAAAGCACGAAATACATACATTGTTTATGACTTCACCATTGTGGGAGCGTATAAGTTCGTATCTACTGACATAAAAAAGTCATTCAGAAGTTTAGAAACATCTATCTTATTTTGAAAGACATTAAAAACACATCCATCTCATTTACTTCCACCCATCAGTTACATATTGTGGATTGACATAGAATGACACGACAGGCGAAACTAAGACAAATTATTATAAGGGATTGCTCATATATGTATAGCAGTATATATATATATATATATATATATATATATATATATATATATATATATATATATATATATATAATTTGTTTTTGACTTATAACTGATCTTGAATTAAAAAATGAAATCTTGTACGAACTACGAACCTGAACATGATGCTTATAGTTATATGTGGGACTAGTAAACTGTGACTTCTTGCCGACCGCTTCGGTGAAGATGACGCACTGTTGGAATAGGAACACGTGCAGTTCCTTGCCCTTGTCACTGCTGCAGCTGGCATCGGACACCACGAGGGGCTCTTGGAATAGCAACTTGCCTTGCGCAGCTATATTGCCCTGTAATCAAATAAGTCACCAGTATATATTTAATTCATATATAAATAATATATGTTAAATATAAGAAATTAAAGAATAACATTCACAATTGCAGTTGTTTGTGCAATTCGCTTTTATGGCATAGTTCATATTAAGAGTATTTTTTACAATCGCGTGGGTATATAAAAAAAGCGCTGTTCAATTTAAATAAAATCCATGACTTTCGCAAATAACATAAAAATACTATTATATAAATAAATATAGTAAATGCAAAAAGAAAAAAAACATAGAACACATATTCGCAGTAATGCAAGTTTACGAATGATAATTCATTGTTCGCATGCATTGCAATACACACAAAAAAATGTTACAAAATATATCATGTATGTTTAAAAGTTTAGTAATATATAAATGTGTAGTAGTATTGTAATCGGCTAAATTAAGATAAATATATAAAAACTACGGATGCTTAGGAGGATTACTTACCATGAAGCCCTGAAGGCGACCGACGTCCATCATGTCGTTGGCGTTCTTCGGTATGATGGAGGTGCATTGCACAGCGTCGCGGAGGGCTGCGATCACGTCGGGTGGCGCATTCGCTGCTTCCGAGTACGTCAACACTTTCTTCACCAGTAAATGGTACTTTTGTATGCGTTGGATCGGCTTGATTAGCAGGTCTCCCAGCTGTTGGCAATATTATAAGTGGATGAATATCCTTACATAATAACGATTATCATATTTAACTTTAGTTATATAAAATGACATGATATTCGTGTCTAGTTAATCTATATATAGATAAATAAAATTGAAGTGTATAATATTTAGCAGCTTTTTACTCAATGCATATGAAATTATATACGGTACTTATAAAAAAAAATTTTTTTTTAATTGTCTGTTTGTTTGATCCGATCCGATTAATCTCCGAAAGGGCTGAACGTTATCAGCAGTAACTTACGCTACATTTATTTTAGAAAGAGATTTGGTGTCCCGCTCAAAATAATTAAAACACACCTAGGGATCCGGGCGAAGCGAGCACAAGTCGCTCAGTTAGAATTATAGTATAAAATAATAGAAAACATTCAATAAACTGAGAATGAAGTATTACGATTATTAAGTATTATTATTAGAAGTACGGTATTCACCTGCAACTTTTGTCCAAGTTTATGGCGTAGCTCTTGGAAATAGTGCTCATGTTCCGATACAATATATTCAGATACTGGCTTGTTGCGGCAATAAACCTCGTATAGAAACATCTTTTTCTCCAGAAAGCGGCGGAACAGTGGTCCCAGCAACTCGGGTGACTCGATGCAGCTCTCCAACTCGCGGACGAATTTACTGCAAGTAGCACTCATTTATGGCATACGATCACAAGCCCACGTGTGACTTGAACGTAACCAACACGCCAGCATGACAGTTTTTTTCCTGATATATGAGTAACGTTGTCCTTATTAACAGCCTACTAGTCTATTGTAATAAGCAATTGACACAATCGCATAGCAGTCCATAAAATCTCGCTTCGCATATTTACATAGTAGCGTAATCTAAATAATTTTATATTTAATTTTGTAAATTTAATAAAAAAGAGCATAGCATATCTTATCTTTTTAAAGACATTAAAAAGATATTTCACAATTGAAATTACGTCTCTATTTTTATTACCAAAAGCTCTTCTCCCTGTCAGACTGTGACTACGACTCGCCTTCAGAATTTATTTTGTATAACCTCATGGGAATTACTTAATGTTCGAGGAAAAAATATTTGATGCTTTCCAGTTTATAGTGTATACACTATCTCTATACAAAATATCACTCCTTTCCTAGACGAAAAAAGACAAACAAACAAACGTACTATCGCATTTTTAATATTAGTAAGGATAACAAAAGCTAAACTACTCACTCTCGATGCCACTCGTATATCGCCTGGATGTTACCGAAGATCATTCTCAGCCGGCGGTCTCGAAGACCGTCCGGTATCGGCGGGTCGGAATTGGGCTCCTGGGAAATAGTATTTTATTGATTAATAATGTTCCGTTCAATTTTCTTGAGTATATTTATTTATGACATTAACATGATTATATTTCAATAATATTGATTAATATATCATATTACCATTGCTTACCTACTTATACCACAAGTCCAAGACCGCATGCAACCGCGAATCGCTCTTGGTAGTCTCAATTGCTATTATTTAAACTGAATGTTTCTTACATCATAAGACAAAACATTTTAGCTAAATATTTATTACTGACACATGCTGCATATTAAAAATCTATATTTGGCGTACGTGAAAACTAAAATTGAAAACACGATCGAATGGCTTTTGTTCTTTGGCCACATCATTGAGAAACTTTACTTTAGTGTGTACGTTAAATAAACTTATGTAATTCAGTATATTAAAAAATCAATTACCATCATATGCTTCATGTATCCTTCGCAAACGAGACGCAGGTCGGCCACATATATCTCTTCGGTATCGTAGAGCTCACGCAGCACGTACTCGCGTTTCTTGAGCGTGGCCTCGATGCAGTCTGCACTCGTTGTCTCCTCTTCCTCGTCGGCGCGAGTCGAACCCACACTACCACCGCCATGTTGTTCCTGTACCAATAATTAGGTATCTATTTTTTCGTTATGTATGGTATAGGCGATATTGTCATTATAAATTTCGTGTTGCAAGCAAATGTGACTAATTAGATGGATATTTTCGATATGTAATAATCCATGTAGATTCCATAGACTCTATCAAGTATTGTAGTGTAGAACCAAATAAGGACTTCAAAACAATAATAGTAATCAAAGCAGACAGTAACTAAACTACACAAGCAAAACCATGCAATAAACTGTAGCTTGGACGTTGACACACCTTAATTGATACACTAAATCAAATGTAAACATAATCCGGACTCGGCTAAATTACGCTTTTATGATGAAACCACTGGAACGCCAGGATCGACATTAAACAAAAGATGTCGAAATACGATGTTTAAGACATAATTTGATTATAAAAATACTTTTAAATGCAGTAATCGAATCATTTAAAATAACGTTTTTAAAATAATACCAAAACACGCAGGTAACACGTACAGGTATTCTAAATTAAGTAACTTTTTTATTTATAGCATCATAATATCCAAATTAATATCGTGAAGTTAGTTAGGCAGCAAAATTGATGGATATAACTCGCTCCTGGCATCAACTGAAGCGGCACTGTCACACATGATTAAGCACACCATCAATAATGTCCAACGATTATCGATCCCAATTAAAACAGGTGCAACTAAATAGAGCTGAAATCTATAATACCGCATCATATTCTCTCTAGCGAGTCCAATATTTACGTAGATTTAAATATATTTCACTCTTTGTAATCTAACAGCTATTTTTGTTATAAATACTATAACAAGTTTGATAATTAATTGAAGAAAAATTGAAATGAAACTGTTGAGAAAAAGTATTTAACATATTCGCAATAACGTTTCCAAAGTATAGAGACAAAGAGTGAAAAACAAAAAGCTTTGAACGAAATCCATGCACACTACATGCTTTGTCTTTAATCGAACCATTTTTTCCTTCACAATTTGTTCTATTTCGGCGATATCTGCGGGACCACCGTTAGAATCCAGCGCGTCCATTGCCAACGAATTCTGAAAATGTCACCAATATATAGCCCACTTTTTCACAAGCACCTAGTATGCACCCTTGTTTGTTAGTTACGTGTTAGGGAACAAGGAGACTGAGGAGTTATTTTAGATTAACATTGTTGGAAATGATTTAGAATGAATAAATGAAGAGTGAGAGAAATATAGGTGCTTATTTATACTGACCCGAGCTGCAGGCGCGGCGGCGGTGGTTGCCGGTATAGGCGCCTGCTGCAACACTGCCTGTGGGTCCTGTGATAAATAACATTACTTATTTAAATAAACAATAAGAGACTTCCAGTCCCTAAACCTTTGACTGTAACTTTAATAGTGTGTACTTAAACACTACATTCAATTAGTTATAGTAAGGTAATAAAATAAGTTACAAACTATATTAATGTTTGACTAGACATGTGCAAGTAAGTCCTTCTAAACATTATACATGTTTTTGTAATAATCACGTCATGTCGTACATTAAATGATACTCAATAGTCACGACCTATGGTTATTGCTTTGCTATGTTGTTGCTGTTTTGAGAATAAGTCCACAGACTCGCAAATTAAAACAAAGCTTATAAGTTATCAAAATAAACGCAGTTATTTTGAGAAATTGATTTTGTAACCTCAATGATTTATTTGATCTAGTCTAGCGCTGTATATAATAGAACGACACAAGTGTGACGACGTAACTGGCATGAATATATCGGGTACATAAGGAAGGGTCTAGTCTCCTCGAGCGTACTGGTATGTATATCGACTTTCCAGCAGTGAAACTAACCTAGTTGCGTATATCAATGCGCTGTTTGTTACTGGCCTAACGAGATGTCCGTGTTTGATGTTCCTAATTGAATGTACTGTTCTCCCGCTTGGCGCCAGGAAATCAAATCAATTTATAGCTCAGGCATGCCATTTAATCATTGTACGCGTTTTCACTTGGAAAATAAGATACTTCATTTTGTAATCCTATAATCCCATAAATATTATAAATGCGAAAGTTTGGATGGATGTTTGTAACTCAATTAATGCCAGTATGGCTGAACGGATCTGAATAAAATTTGGCATAGAGATAGATTATATTGTTGAGCACGTAGGTTACTTTTTATCCCGGAAAAAATGTACGGTGCCGTCGGATAGAGTTCTTCCTGGTTTTTACTAGGGACGCACCTGAGCGAAGCGAGGGTAAGTAGGTACTATAAAATATAATGCAAAAAAAGCAAAAAGTTTTGATTTAATAAAATTAAATATGAAGTTATAATTCATTTCATGCCTCTTTAATCTGTGTTTATTATAGCTTTGTAAAAAAAGATTGCTTTGGAAAAGTTTAATCACTCTCTCTCTCAGTTATAGTTCTTTCTTTCTTGTTAGTTCTTTCTGTTATTTAATAAATAACTTATCAAGTGCTTGTCGATTCTTGTCTTATTATCTAATCATAATGCTAATAAAAAACTTGTAATACTTAGATACTGGCACGACTTGAAAAATTGTTTTGTCTTATATAGCCCGCTTATTAAGATATACAAAAGAACGCAGCATTAACTACGAACTTCGAATTGCAATATGGCAAAAATAAAGTACACGATGCGAGAACAACGACAGGCGACGGGGCGCGGCGGTGTTAACGAGGGGCACAATTGTTATAATATATGCATTGTACTGTATATGTCTATAATATAGATATAATATAGACAATATTAATAATAAATAATAATGTATATTAATATAATAAAAAAATTATTCTTAGCATAATAATAATATTTTATATTATGTAATATAATTGGGTAAGTGCTCTATGGTCTATTATGATCACTCAATATTTGTATTAGATATTTGCCAATAATATACGTCACAATAAATAGTTTTTTTACACTTCACGCTAGAAGTATCGTTTTTGAGCAATTTTTAATTTATTTTTTGTTTTTATAATTTTTTAGGAAAAAAATATTTTACAAAAAATTCTATGTAATTTCAGGTCAGATACAGAAGATACTCGTATATGTATGTATATAATACATAAAATTTCGTGTAGGTATCTCGGAATCGACTCTAACGATTTGGATCAAATTTTGTATTTAGATGAGGGTTCTGCTTTTTAAGTTTATCTATATATATATATATATATATATATATATATATGTAGGAGTCTTTTCTGAAAAAATGCCATTTTTACATCTTGTCCGAAAAAAGTCGCGTCGCCCACGTATTAATATTATGTAGTTCGTAGTATTATTAATTACCCGACTGTGGCAGAAGGAGGGTTATGTTGTTCGAGTGTATGTATGTATGTATATTTAATTGACACGCTCTACAGAGCGCCGTTTAGGCTACAGCCTAAGCGGCTTGATAGATTTTGGCTTGAGAGGTGTTGTTAGATTTGTCTTAATTATGAGAGTGACACTGGGTATATCAAATATAAAAATTAAAATGGCCGATTATTTACGCCATATTATGTCTTCAAAAAACTTTTTCCTCAAAACCTATCATGTGAGATATTAAAATAAAGAGTTTTATAAATGGCTTACAAACATATATACAATTTATATATTTTAAAGTACTTTTGAATGAAAATGCTAAAAAACAACAAATAAAAAAATATTACAAAAATAAAATACCGACTGCGTAAAAAGCGTACTTAAAAGATGAAAACAAGTTGACGAAGAATCATAGTATTATGCAGTCGAAGCCACACACACACACACGCACACGCACACACGCACACAAATACACACACACACACACACATGCAGCTATTATAAGACATGTATTGTACATATGTATGTCTCCGACTGCACAATACTATTCCTTCGTCAACTTGTTTTTGTGTGTCAACTTTTTACGAAGTCGGGTTTTTGATTGTAAATAATTTTTAAATATACGAATTGAACTATACGGGTATATAGCATGCAGATTGTATATGTATATGGATATATTCATATATAGATATACAATGCTATTGATAGGAATGTGGATAATTACGGTTATCTCCCTGGCACCGCCGAATGCCATCGACCGGCGTTCGTAGAATAGTGTAAATTCAGTACATTCCGAGAATACGAGGGCAATGACGTATACTGCTCGATTACATAATGAATATAAAGGTTAGTTCCATTTTATTAACCGACGAAAATACAGCAGGAGGTTCTCAATTCGACACGCATTTTTTTTATATTTGACCACGCATAACTTTTTACAATGTAGTCTGATTTCGATTATACTTTTTTTATTGGTGTACACCTCAAAGTAAAAAAGAAATCCACCCCTGAGTGTAGAAAATAGGGAATGATTGATTTTTCACCTCCCTACTGAATGTTTGAAATACTTTCTTCTTACTTTGCTTCTATTACGAGTATGTCCACACTAAAAATGTAAAAAATGAAAACTTAAAAATAATAATAATAAAAACTGACTTCAAGAAATCATTAAAAAGTAAAAAATAACTAATTGGTAGTTTTATACCTAATCAGATATTTTCGAAGTCGGCGAAAGTCGATAAAAATCAAAGCAAAGCTTACATCACAAATTGATGTAAAATATTTTAAACTATAATTAAAGTTCATACTTTGTCATATTTCCCTATGAAATTCATATCTTAAAGCACTGTCGGATGGCACAGACTACGAAAATATCTGATTTGGTATCTATAGCAAATGAAAACTACCTAGTGATTTATTTTTTATGTTTTAGAGTTTTTTTGAAGTCAGTTTATATTTTTTATTTCTTTTAGTTTTTATGTATTGTATCAATATCGATTATAAATAATAATCAGATTACCAAAAACCAAATTCTTAGGTTTTACATATTAGTATATTCTTACAATGCAGTTTTTGTTTTTATTCTCAGAAATAAAATATTTTCCCGCGGTAAAAAGTTTCCTATATGTTGACCTGGATAACCAGCTATCACCATACTTTTCATGAAAATCTTTTCAGTGGTTTTTCCGTGTTGCGGTAATAGACAGACAGACAGACAAAAATTCTAAAAACTATAGATTCGGCCTCTATATCGATAATAATGCCTGTTCCAATAAGATTTTCCAAAAAATATTTAATGTACAGATTCGGCTTAGTTACAATTTTATTATATGTATAGATAGAATTAGATCATCTATGACTTGAAATTTTACCTGCCAAATATGATGTGGCGAAAAAAACTTACTTATAAGTAGGTAAGTATTTATTTATGAGTAATTAGAAATCGGTAAATCAAATTATATATTTTTCAAGCATTTGTTTGAAAAAATAAAGAATAAATTTCAACATTTCACAAATATTTCGTTTTAATGTTGCTGCTATTAAAATAGTGTTGTACGATTAATATCATGATATATTGTGGGTTAAAAGGCAACGAAGAAGGTGAGAATTCTTTCGGACGTTGGTGAAGTTGATTACTCAATTAAATATACAATAGGTATATTACTAGACTTACGCGAATATTTAATAACAGCGACTCGCTCGGGTTCGCCTCTAGAAAAGCTCAAACAGATCTATCCCACGGGTAACCGTTCATTTTTTAAAAACTAACCTAACTAACTAACTAAGTAGTTTGACCAGCAATATGAGGTATCAGCATGTAAAATTTCATTTAAATCGGTCCAACAGTTTCGGAGAATAGCCCATACAAACAGACAGAGAAACAGAAAAATTGAAAAAATCGGACCCCCTGACTGGGTTTTTGGCATTTTTTTCTATGTACAGACATTCGTCCTCTACAGTTTTATTATATGTATAGATTTGAAATAAAAAAATTTTTCGGTATTTTGAAATAAATATATTTTTTCTGATATTATTATTTTTTATTATTTGTTCCCGACTTGGACGTTTCGAATGCTTTGCAGTAAACATGGTAACTAGAAACCCTAAGATTTTAGACGTGTAAAGTTTTGACAGCGTACAAGTTAACTGATGTTTATTACGTTTAGTAGCGACTCACCCTCGCTCCACTCGGGTTCGTTCCTAGTTACGATTTAACGTTTATATGTATTTGTCAGAGATATTTTCTCTCAGTAAAAATTATCCTATATGTTGACCCGGATAATTAGCTATCATCATACCAAATTTCATCAAAATCCTTCCTATGTTCTCGTGATGCAGACAGACAGACAAAAAATTTAAAAACGATAGTTTCGACCTCTGTATAAGTATGTACAATCAGCTCTGGTTAAAATCAGCCACTGGACACTAATTTTCACCACTAGAACACTTCCACTATAGCTTCACTTAATTATTCTTTACTTCCGCTTTTTTGTACTTCTTCGCAATCTTTACTTAACTTCGAAACTGATCTCTCGACACACTGCCGTACTTTTTACATACAGTGTGTGTTAACAATTAAGTATATCACAAAAGGGATGCAGGTATGTTTATTTACTTATAAGGAATATATGTATAACGCACTAGCGACTCACCCTCAGTCCGCGCGGGTTCGTCCGAGATGAGTTAAATTAAGATAAAAAGTATCCTATATGTTGACCCGAATAACCAGCTATCATCATAGCAAATTTCATGAAAATTTGTCCAGTAGTTTTCTCATGATGCATGCCCAGACAGACACAAAAATTTTCAACACTATAGATTCGGCCTCTATCTATCTATTGATAATAATGACATTTTTAATAAGATTTTCCAAAAAATATTTAATGTACAGATTTGACTCTAGAGATCTATAGATTTCCGTACTACTTATTTGATTGAGATGGTCATTTATTCCCTGCGCGCATTCGAAGGCTTTTGACATACGTACATGTTAAAAACTATCAATACTTGGCGCACCAGTAGTAAGAGATAATCTAAAATCTTATTATTCTAAATACAGTCACCAGTAATTTAGATGTATGTATAATGTATATACATATGTATATTATTCCTACACCTGGGTGAAAACATGGCCGAGTGTGCCAATACAATAATAATTCACTCTTTTTTTAGCGGCCCACTAGGGGCAAGAAACTCCATTCAATTAGGCATCTGTCATCTATATTTCCTTACGATATCACAATGTTTTCATGGGACGCAAGTCGCGGGGTTTGAACCCGCTTCACTCGATTTTTTTAGTGCGTTACTAAAGGCCTACCACTGCTCTCAATATAAAAGATTTTAACTAATTCTAAGAGGAGTACCATTATAATACTCAAGCAACTGTAGTAATACCAAAATAACCCCGTTAAATAGATAAGCATTTAACGCAAATGGTGTTATTTTTTATTGTTTTTGACACGCAAGCTTTGTATTTTATTGATTTGACGTTATGTAAAGCTCTAATTATGATTAATTCATAGTGCGTTCATTGAGTTGGTAGTGTTTACCTGTATCGGTTTCATGGGAGGTGGCAACTCGACGTCTGGCGCGTCGTCCTCCGCGTCGTCTATTGCGGTTACGCTGGTTTCGCCGTCTTCTATACGGACGCTCTCCACATACGGCAACTATACAAATAAAAAACCACATCATTAATAACTTAATAATGAAATATGACAATTAAAAATGATAATTTTATTATAATTTAAATGATATTACCTTGAGCTTCTTTTCGGACGGCACCTTTTTGAGAGACGGTTTGTCAGCAGAGGCTGGAGACTTTGCGCCACCTGGCGTTTTCTCTCCCTTACCTTGCGACTTGCTCGGACGCGGTATCCACCGCCTTTTAAAAAAAGGTTTAATTAACACATGTAAATATTATAGAACAGAAATACTTAAATAGGTATATTCTAAATATTGTAATATTAAAATTATACATACATATATGTTATTATTTTACTCGCGAGCTCTAATGTTACGTTTATCATTGCGATAAATTAAGTACCTACTTGAAAAAGTATTCACACCACGTACAAAAAAAGTCAGTGTATACTTTCCTTATGACTTCAAAAGGTATAGACATATGCCTTCATATGGAATACTTCTTCTAGGTTTATTAAACAATGGCAAAAAAAGAAAAGCTAGCATAATATGATATATAATAGCGTAACATAACATGGTATTTTTGGTCATATTTTATTAATTTCATAATATTTAAAAGTATATACTTGTTTGAATATATTTTTTCTTTGGTCAAATTAATTATTCTTCATATTTTATATTATTTTCTTCTAGAGATTATAATATTTTTAATGATGAACGTTTTTTCTTAACCTAATAATTTAGTAAATGCAGAAATTTCATAAAATGCTCTAACTTATTTATTAGGTATGGGATCCAGTACGCCGCTATTTTTAGACGATGTCTACGACAACATAATATGTATTATTTTCCTTTGTCAGCTTGTGTTCATCTTTTTAGTTCGCTTTTAACGCAGTCGGTTTTTTATTATTTTTGTAAATATTTTTTTATTTGATGTTTTTTAGCATTTCTCATTCCAAATTATATTTAAAAATATAAGTTGCGTATATATATATTGGTAAGTCATTTATAAAACCTTTTATTTTGATACTCCAATCGAAAGGTTTTGAGGAAAATGTTTAGGCTACGGACGTGCCAAAGATATATACATACACTCGAAAAACATAATCCTCCTTCAGGCATAGTCGGATAAAAAATTGTTGATATCTTTAATCTTCTAAGAAATAAAATTAAAAAAATGCAGAATTAATAAGTATGTTATCGTTAATAAACTATATCGAAGAACATAATTATTATGTAGTAGACTCAGGTTAGTAGACTCATTGACGTTCAGTAAAAAATTGTAATAATTTAATGCTGAACAAAATATTGAATTTGAATTTATGTAAATATAAAGTTACAGGTATGTAAGTAAATATGGCTTTTGACGAAACGATATTTATATGTGATACTCATTTAGAGGCTGTACCTATTTAAGAAAAATGTTTCAAGATTAAGTAGGTAATATACCTAGATTGCAAAAACCTCCATCCCTTTAGGTGTAGTAGCTTAGATTAAGTATTGATGGATAAGGAAGATGAACAAGTTTTTTTATACAAGTACTAGCAATATTTGCAGCTAATAGTATTCAGCCCTTTTTAACGTCCCACTGCTGGGCACGGGCCTTCCTTCAATACGTGGGGCGATCAGGCCATAGTCCACCAATGAGTATTTCGAAAACTTGCTAGGTTCTCTCAGACATGCAGGTTTCCTCACGATGTTTTCCTTCACCGTAAGCAAGTTGTAATCATGTTAGAAATGATTCGCACATGAAAATATATTAAAGCTAACATGAAATGTCCATTTAATTTACGAAACATTAATCATCAATGGTTTCTAGTTTCTATCCTTTTATTTTAAGTAAAGGGTTGAACGAATTATAATTTTCTAGGACTGTATTTTGTGAATAAAAGGCGTTCAAATGTTACTAAATGAAATAAAAATTAGTAACTTCGAAATATTAGTTCGTCGCTCTGTCTGTATGTAATGTGACATACTTCAATATCTCTTTAAGCTAAGTAAATAGATATAAAATGTTATTTATTTAACTTAAACGATTACAATTAATCAGTAAAATTTAAGTTTAGGTGTAATATACCTTGAAGACGAATTTTAACTTTTGAATCTAGAAGTGTTAGTGTAGTAGTGTAGTGTTAGTTTTGTTAATAAAAATTGATTACTACTGAAGTATTGATAAATATTTACCATTTATATTAACTACTACGTCACATGAATTAAAGTTAATTTGTTCTAATATTATATAACAAGCGACTCGCTTCGCTCGGGTTCGTCCCTAGCTTGCTTCCCAATAAAAGCTTTTATCCCCATTTTCACCCCCTTAGAGATGATTTTCGGGATAAAAATCCTGTCCTTCCCAGGGTCTCAAACTGAACTCAAATCGATTAAGATGAAATTTGTTAAGAAGATTCTTACCAAATTTCATCTAAATCGGTTCAGTAGATCCAGAGATGATACCCCCCTACAACGTCACAAACACACAAATTTTACCTCTTTATAATATTAGTATAGATGTTACATTTTATATGAACAGAACATCTCAAAAATAACAATGTAATTAATTTGTACGAAATGATGTACCTATATCGTCGGCAGTTAATATATGAAAGTAATATTTAAAAGTACTTATCAACAAATATTAAAATTTAAATTATAAAAATCATGAAGAAGGTGTTAAAGTGACTTCATATTATTTTTCGGCTGTGAATGAACGAACAGAAAATCTAGTTATATTTACCTTATAATTTTTTATAGAACATGCTTATTTAATTAACTTACTTCGAGAACACAATTTGACTCCACATCCTTATATTCATTTAACATAGCACACATCACAAACAATCACGTCCGCATATCGACTGAGTTAAGTTCACAAACTACAGTCAGACAAGCAGTAGTACTCCATTGGCGCAAACACTGTTATCACAAATTCTAAACGTAAAGAAATGACGATATATTGCAAGGCGAAGAGATACGAGATATATCGACAAGATTACAGTGATAATTTTGTAGTGTACTGGCCGGTAGGCGACAGGAAACGCGACGCAAAACAACATAAAGGGTGAGCGAGGGGCGATCGCACCCAGAACGAGCTGCTATCGCGCGTGTTTCTGCTGACGGCGTCGACGTCGCCGCCGGCCGCCCGTCGCGTCGCCCGCGCTTCGCGCACTGGGCCCGTAGCCAAATTCATAATGCAACCAAACGTTCACTTCCATGACGCATCTACTAAAGAGCGGATACCGTGTACTTATAACAATAAATAACATCATTAACACTTATCATTGTGTTTTATACAATTACATTATACTATGTATAATGATAAAGAATCCGATTAGATAAACGTAATTTAACAACAATGCTAAATTTTAATATGTATAACTAGTAAAACCTTTAACTATAAACTATTCTGTAATAAGAAAACTATAAATTAATTCTAGTAGGTTTGTTAAGTTTAAATCAATAAATAAAGAAAAGTGACTTTCATTCACGTAACGTAGAATAATTTTATCAGTTTATATTTATAATCTAGTCATACAACAGAGTATTAACGGGGTCAGGGTTAAACATTAAATATTTTTCCAAAACAATATTTGTGAAGCGGTGTTTTTAATGGAATAAAAAATAATGTAAGAGTCAGGTTAAGTTAAAAGAAAAGGCATTTTAAAATATATTGACTGATTGTCTCACTAGCGTAACAGCGAGCAAACGACAAGCGAAGCAGAGTTAATGTAATATGAAATTCTACGGTCGCTAAAACATTAAAATAGACTCTAAACCAAATGTCGTATCGATCCAGCTTGCTTGCATTATTAATTTACAGTTAAGTTAGCTAAGCTATGTACATTGTAACTAAAATAACTCAATCAACTCTAACAATTTATAAGTTACTAATTAATGCGAAAAAAAATTAGATTTAGAAAATAATTATTTTTAGAGGTAAAAATCACGACAGATATTATTAAACAAATTACTAGTAATAAAAATTATAACAAGTGTAGGTATACGTTAATCATTCGCGTGAATCGTGATATGCCTTGAAGAAGGTGGACATTCAAATCATCATCGTTTTGAAGTCTGTCAAAGGTACATTAAATAAAAACTTTTTAACAAAAAAATAAAAACCGACTTCAAACAAAAGCACTAAAAAGTGAAAAATAACTAATTGGTAGTTTTCGTTTACTATACATACCTAATCAAATATTTTCGAAGTCGGTGTGCTTTGCTTTGTATGGGCTGGCACCGATTTCGAAAATATTTGATTAGGTATGTATTTAATAGGTAGGCTTTAATTAATTAGCCAAAGCACACCGACTTCGAAAATATTTGATTAGGTATGTATAGTAAACGAAAACTACCAATTAGTTATTTTTCACTTTTTAGTGCTTTTGTTTGAAGTCGGTGTGCTTTGCTTTGTATGGGCTGGCACCGATTTCGAAAATATTTGATTAGGTATGTATTTAATAGGTAGGCTTTAATTAATTAGCCAAAGCACACCGACTTCGAAAATATTTGATTAGGTATGTATAGTAAACGAAAACTACCAATTAGTTATTTTTCACTTTTTAGTGCTTTTGTTTGAAGTCGGTTTTTATTTTTTTGTTAAAAAGTTTTTATTTTTCCCTTTTTAGTGTAGACAGTAGTAGCAAAGTAGAATTCTGAAGTGTTAGGCTTGTCAGACCAAACAAAATAAGCCCAAACTCAAAGTATCTACTATTAATCGGTGAAGAGTTCCACCTATCCACCTTCTGGCCTTACCATCAGATCAGGTCAACAATACTGAACCACTGTACTATCAACGGAAATAGAAACACTTGCAAAGTTTCAAGTCAATATGACAATTAGAAGTAGGTCAAATTCATTATTAGCTATTTTTCCGCCCTTAGGGGTGGTATTTTTTTGAAATTTAAATGGGACCAATCTGGAAGTATACCCTTTCAAACTAAACAAAAATTGTCCAAATCGGTTAATAAATGACAAAGTTCTGAGGTAACAAACATAAAAAATAAATAAAAAAAAACATACAGTCGAATTGAGAACCTCCTCCTTTTTGAAGTCGGTTGAAAATGAACTTTAACTGGAAATTCAAAAACATTCAATACTTTACACCCAGTACAACGAGAAAGTCACTCTAAGAATTGAGGAACATAAGAAATTGTTTCTTTGAAGCACTTCCGCACAAGTTTTCTTTGTTATTAGTTTCGTTTTATTTATGTCTTGGAAAATTGTCAGAAGAAGCATACTGTAAATAATTATTTCCGATTTCTAGTTATAACATTTTTAACTTGGGAGTAAAGGAAGTACAATTAATTTAATATTTTCACCGACTTAAAAACGGAGGATATTATTTAACTCATCTGCTACTTTATGTTTAATAGTAAATACTTTTAATCAGGTAAAATGGATGATAAACATCATTTATTTATTTTATTTTTATTTATTTAGATACAGAAATAGAAAACAAATTAAAAAAATTACAACGACGTATTAAAAGCTAAGATATCATTTTAAATTTGTTGTCCAATTATATTATTAAGTAAATAAACATAACCAAAAAGTAAAAAAGTTAATATTTCAGTATGTGCATTAAAAGTTAGATAAAAATATTAAAAAAAATATTTAAATTTCATTTAAAAAAAAACAACGAAAAAAAAAGAAAAAAAATAGAGATGAAGCATACTATCGAAAATTAAAATATAAAAAAAAACATTATCAAAAATGTAGTATTCATTATTTGAAACTATTGTATGTTTTACACATTTTGTGTAAACCGTGGTTACGTTATTAGTTGCCTAAGGTATATTAAAAAGTTGTGGCTAACGAATCGAGAGGGTATGAAATATGAATTTTAAATTCCAGTTTTTATAACAATTTGCTATTGAAATCACCGTTGGCTATTTTATTGAGGAAACACAAAGATATAAAACGGCGATCTTACAGGCTTTTTAGTTTGTATTTATGAAATCTGTCAGTATAGTTAGGTAACTCACGCCTGAGACCTTGCTTAATGTTTTTAGAAGTTTACGTCGTTGTATAGCCTCTATTCTGTTAATATGAATGGCATAGATTGGTTTCCATACAGAAACAGTATTCAATTTGCTTCTTATCATGGTGACACAAAATTATCCACGAGATTGAATTTTTGAAACACTGGGCAGTTCGGATAATAAAACCTAGGATCTGTTTGCTTTATTTGTATCTATTTATTTGTAAGTATACAGATCTATCCCACGGGAACAGTTTATTTTTCCGGGATACCAAGTAACCCGGCATATAAGGTATCAGCATGCCAAATTTTGCTAAATTAGTTGCATAAATTGTTGTGTACTAGGCTGAATAAGTTACTATAGTTTTTTAACTATCCCACGGAAACTCTTTAATTTTGAGATATAAGGTACCACCATGCAAAATTTCATTTAAATCGGTCCACCAGTTTCGGAGATTATTCCGTACAAACAAATTGAAAAATTTTTGGATTTGTTCTATTTTTCTTCTTACATCACCCTGACTCGGTTTTTGGATTTTTTTTCTATGTACAGACATTCGACCTCTACAGTTTTCTTATATGTATAGATATAATCAAATTGATGCCTAAAAGAAAAGGTTGAATTAAATATAACTGCTAGGTTCCGTACTACTTTGACTCTAGAGATGATAGTAAGTACCTGCTATGTTATAGTCGAAGGATATTGGAGCTTTATTCGCCTTTGTAAGTGAAATGACAACATTTATTTTTATTAAGCTCCATCAAATTTTCATCACACATTTGGATAGAGTCAAGATCATGCTAAAGAAATCAATTTGATCTTTTAGTGACTTGGCATATGCGAGGCATTCACTATTTATCAAAGCCATTATGATTTATAAATATAAAAAATAATAAAGGGCTTAAGTGGATCCCTGTGGAACACCAGAGGTGGCTAGGCTAATTTTCCATTTTTTTTTGAGCATCCTGCTCATATTCACAATTCACAAGATATAAGTTATATTTTATTAAATTTATTTTATAATTTATATTAAATTGAAAGATTGGAACATAGCTTTGGTGTTTATTGCAAATGTGGTGTAATTTATATCCATATTATACTTGTAATAAGGTAAGTTAAACATATAATGTATATCTCACTCTCTACACACCGCAACGTACGAGTACTCGTATTAGTAGGATTCAATTCATTTTATAGAATTTTATTAATGATCATTAATACATCTTATAATATTAAATGTTTTGTTTATCTATATAGGTGTCTTTTTTAAAAAGATGCAACTGTTATATCCTTTCCGAAAAAAACGTCGAGCGAAGCTCGGTCGCCCAGGTACTAACACATTTAAATGACACAAGAATGATAAAAAATATAATTTCAGAATATTCTTGATTCGTAGCAAGCTTGTTTTACGCTGAATTTGCGTCTTTATATTATATAACCTTAGTCAAATTAAATTTAACAATGTCAGTATATATTAGCGCACCTCACAAATACACCACGATAACGACAGGATGAAACAATAAACCGCCACAAGATTCTCAAGCGTCCCTTCTCTATCCATGATAGGATGTACTGTTCTTCTTACAATCACAATTTTAAATAAACCCTAAACGGTCAATTGTTATGGAATATTGGGCAAGAGAACAACAACTTTTAAAGGTTAAATTTGTAAACACCTTTTAGATAATGTAATTATATAGTATGTAAATAACATGCAAAATTTTTAATAAATTCAATATACCTATAGTGAACGTTACGTTACGACATATAATATTAATTTTATATTTCCATAATCCACGTTCTATTGATAACAAGCTTTTATTTAACTGGAAATGTTTGTATGTTTGTTCAGGTCAAATCTTGCAACTGAAATTTAAAGCAATTATCCTGAACCGATTGAGCTGAAATTTAGCTTTAGATGACAATGCATGGTTAGATAAGTTACGCCATTCTGAATTCAACATGGCGGGCTCCCAAAGTTGGCGGGCTATGTTTTTTTATGCACCCCCATGATGGATAACAAATAAAAGGATTTGCTGAGAATACGAATAAATGCATAACAAATAAATAATAAACTTTAAATTAAATAAAACCCCTTTATTACATTACATAATTTATATGTTATAAAAGCTGTTTTTAAAAATGTTTTTTTCAACAATAATTTACTTATGTACACAATTAATGAATATTATGGAAGCACTTTTAAGGCACCGACTTCGAAATATCTGATTTGAAGGTATCTTTTATAGTAAATGAAAACCCCCGTTTAATTATTTTTGACATTTTCCATTTCCGTGGGATAAATTTGTTTTTGGTTTTCACTAGGGGCGACCCAAGCGAAGCGAGCGAGTGAGTAGTTAGTTTTTATTTATGTATTGTTGAGTGTAGTTATAACGAATCATATATTGTCAAAATAAAACATATTCTTAAATATGTTCTGAATTGAAAATGAAACTTATAATTTTCTGTAGATATTTTCATTTTGTAATACCGATAAATTGGCGTGAAAGCAAAGATTATTTATAAATTTCCTTATAATCTTGAAAGGCCTACCGCATATATACAATTGTTACATCGACTAACTGTTTAGTCGAGTTGTGCTTGTGTACATTTCATGACAACCAAACAGTTTAGTCGACAAGGGCGCGCATACAATCAACTCTGTCGTAATAGATTTATTTTAGTTTTTTTTGTATCGTCTCTTAAGCGGTTGTTTTGTAGAACTCAATTATATTTAAATACAAGGGCAATGGTAAATAAAAAAGTACACACCTGTGCTTTGCCTATAATAAATATATATTTTTATAAGTAATCTATACATATAATAAAATTGTAACTAAGTCGAATCTGTACATTAAATATTTTTTGGAAAATCTAATTGAAATAGATATTATTATCGATACAGAGTCCGAATCTATAGTTTTTAGAATTTTTGTCTGTCTGTTACCGCATCACGAGAAAACCACTGGACAGACTGATGAAATTTGGTATGATGATAGTTGGTTATCCGGGTCCACATAAAGGATACTTTTTACCACGGGAAAATATCTCATTTCTGAGAAAAAATACAAAAACTACATCGTAAGATTATACTAATATATGTAAAATCTAAGAATTTGGTGTTTGTACATCTGAACGCGGGCGGAGCGGCGGGCAATGCTAGTGATGAATATAAAATTAAAATTAGTAAAAATATATTTGTCAACACATAGCACCATTTAGTTCCATGGAAAGCTACGAGGCTGTGTTATGGATACCAGACAGTTGATACACTACACATATATAACTTAAAATACATACATATTATAAAATTATAAACATCCAAGACCGGAGCACAAACATACGTGCTCATCACACAAATGAATGCACCCAGCGGGATTCAAACCCGCGACCGCAGGCACAGCAAGTAGGGTCACTACAAACTGAGCCAAACGTGGCCGAACGACTGTCACGGATCGACTGTTTAGTCGAGCGTATGCGAGCTTCAATACATTGCAATACACATTGAGTTGTCGGTCGAGTGTTAGTATGCGGACCTCCATACATTTCCATATACTTTTGACATATAACTAAACAGTTTTTCGATTAAAAGTTGTATGTATGCGTTAAGTCTAAAGCTAGGAAGTCTAAACATTTATTGATTTGGAAATGTCAGGGTTCAGTAAAATTTATTAAAGGAAAGTTGAAATAAGTGTAGCTTACTTAAACTAGGTATTCATCATAAACACGTTGTACATCTAAACTAAAATACCGGCCAAGTGATAATAATGGACTTCCATATAGTGTTTTGTACATACAAGATACACTTACGGAATAATCCCCTTCCTGTGTTTGCCGGGGCTAGCTGCACTTGCACTTACGCCGGGCTCCGATGATGCCGCTTCTGTCAAAAATGAAATAATATTAGTTCTTAATTTCTTATTTAAAGTACGTTCGAATTTTATAAAAGATTATTCATAGATAAGGTTTATAATAGGAATTATTTATAAAAAGTATGAAATGTGTAAGTAACAAGTATGTAGTGCCTAAGATATTAAAACCATAAAAGAAAGATATAAATCCATTCTTTATAGAACAAACTTGTAAACAAACAGTGAAATAAGGGTTAGAATAGAATGCTATAATTTAGATACATATGTTTTTGTACTGATTTCATAGACAGTATTTTTTCTATGTTTACCCGTATCAAATCATAATTTTTTTAATACTCCTTACTACAAAGTAGAGTTTCTTCGATTGAGGAAAGGCTAACAACATCATGTCTTATTTATCTATTACAACGCAGTACTTTACGAATTTGTCGGAAGTTGTATTAATTATCTATGCTAATATTATAAAGGGGCAGTTTGCTGGGGCTTGTTTGTTTGAACCCGTTAATCCGAGGAACTACTTACTAATCGGATTTGAAAAATTCTTTTTGCATTAGCTAGCCCTTTTATTCAGGAAAACCTGGCTATATATCATATAATATTCAGTCTACCTATTCCATAGTAACCGTTAAAACGGGACTAGGGTTGAACCAGAGCGAAGGATTGTAAGTAGTTAGTAAAACTATATAACCAAACAAACTTTATAATATTTATAAAATTGATTAAGTTAAAGTTGATTAAGTAATACAAACATTTTATGTAAAAAAATGTCAGTAGAAAATGTGGAAAATACAAGTGGTATTTATAATATAAAATTTACACTTAAACATTTTATAGTAAGCATCCATTAGTACGGCGAATCACGAACTTTTGCATGTCTTGACTGGATTGACTTTAACAAGGTAATTAATTTATTTTATGGTATTGGTGTCCGAATAATAGCATTACAAACAGAAGCAGAACTCAGGCTAGTGAATCGGTATTACTAGCTCTCGCACAGATGCGAAGTTATATTTAAATCGCTGTCTATAGTACGCTCATCACAAGCAATGTTAAGGTTGAATTCCGTTACGCTTGCGTCATAAAATTTGTGCCTCTATCATACCCTGACCTTTTATTAAAACAATAAATAAAAATATATTTCATTAGTTTCAGTATAGTAACGGTAGTAGGTAAAAATTCATATATGTAATATGAATCTATACTCATTGCGTTTCCGTCATAATATATGAATTTATGACCATTGTATTTATTTACTAATAAAATTTTGTGTAAGCTCATTTTCTATATAAATAATGTAATTAGCAAAAATATTGAAACCTATTAAGTGATTTTATAATGCAAATCAGATAAGGGAATACATAATTGTTAAGTACATATTCTTATTAAATACTAGCAGAACCCGCGGCTTCGCTCGCGCAAAAACTACAAAAAAGATCTTTAAAAAAAGGTAATTTCATACAAACTTTCAACTCCTATTTTACCCTCTTATAGGATGAATTTTGAAGAAAGCGAAAACACGTATTTATTTAATTTTATTGAAGAGTATATATACCAAGTTTCAAGTAATTCTGATAATAAACATTTTTTTGGATTGTATTATAAAGTGTTTTCCCTCGGGAATTAATTAATCTCCCGCGATAAAAAGTAGCCTATATGTTACTCTGCAGCCCTCCAAATATCTCCACATAATAAATCACGCCAATCCGTCACTCCGTTTCGACGTGAAAGAAGGACAAACAATCAAACACACTTTCACATTTATAATATTAGTATGGATTGTCGCTTAGTGGAGTGTATAATGTCATGACACCATTACGTAACCCCCGACACAAAAAAACTCTAAAAAGTAATAAAAATAATAAATATTCTTTATTGTACACCTAAGAGAAAAAAAATGTACAAGAAAAATATAAAAAGAGCTATGTACAAGAGGCGGCCTTATCGCTAAAACAGCGATCTCTTCCAGACAACTTTAAGGTGTTAAAAGTAATAGATACTTTTAATGAAGTTAAAAGGCCAAAAGAGAAATTTCTTGTTTTTACTTTTACGAGTTTTTTTTGTGTCCAGGGTTACTTATTGTTGTTTTTTATTTTATTTTTATTTCATTATTTTTAAATTACTCACGGACACTAATAGATAACTCTGATAGAGACTATTCTTATGAGCCCACACGCTATATCTGCTATAAGTTTCTGAGGAATTGAGCATCCCACCTACTATTTAATGCATAAGCTCAAGGTTAGCATGTCTGGGAAATACCACCAAAGTAACAGTACACCGAAATCAATCGGATCTGTGAAAGTTAGAAAGACCCTTTCTAAGTCTTCTAACTTATAAGTCAGTAGGAATTGAGGTGATGTTTATCAAACGCCTGTACAGGTATTCATAAATTATGGCTAAGAACCAATTCGATCTCGTCAACTTTCAAACCAAGGAAACAGCATCAAGGAAAGTTCCGAATTTTCAAATACTAGAATGTTCTTTGTTTATGCATATGAAAAGGCCAGCAGTGTGTCGAGAGAGCAGTTGAATTTCGGAGCTAAGAGAAGATTGAGAAGAAATACAAAAAAGTGCATATATTGCCCATATTTTTCACTGAATTATTCATAGCTAAATTTTAGCATTTACACAAGCAATATGACGAATACTAATTAACTAAAAGGTCAAAACTCTAAATTCAAGATCACTTCAAAAGTAATTATTCCGTAAGTAAGGGTGGAGTTTTTACTTATTTTATAGTTGACAACAGTATTTGAGGTTAATATCTATAAAAAATATATACTAAAAACCGTTAACAATTAGTTTAAACCCGACGTACACCACACACCTCATACATGCACATTGAAGTCGATCATGAAACAATACATGATATAGATCTTTTGGTTGCATATTCTTTTCTGATATGACGGTAAAAAATGTCTAAATCACGAGCCCCACAACAAGATAAATACGAGTTGCGTTACTTACGTTGACGACTTCGTCGGTTATTTGTTTACCCTTATCAGTTTTAGATAAAATTATGCATGATAACAAATAGACTTGTTAAAAAACCTTTTCTTCTTCGTATCATATTAATGGTTTATCAATAATATAACTTTAAATAGAAATTGTTCCGTCTTTTAATTTTAATTAATCTAAACCAGCTACTACTAATATATTAAGTTTCCTTACCTCCAGGTAAATTTTTAAGAAATTAATTAAAATTCTAAGAAATCTATAGTTAACTGACACGTCGGCGTGTCCGCGGTCGGGGAGGGATTAATATTCCCGTGTAAAATACTTATAATGCCCATTAAGTCTTCTGTACAATGATGTTACAAATCTGGAGCTAGTCTAACAATGTTACATAAATATAAATATGTCAGGACATTAACACACAGCACCATCTAGTTCCATGGTAAACTACGAGGCTTGTGTTATGGATACCAGATAGTTGATACATTATACATATATAATTTTAAATACATACATAAGTATTATAAATATAAACACCCATGACTGGAGTACAAGCATCACATAAATGAATGCCCCCAGCGGGACTAACCCGCGACCGCTGGCGCAGCAAGTAGGGTCACTACAAATTGAGCCAAACGTGTCGTCAAACATTACAGTGTGTTACATCTATGTTAAAATGTATACTATGATTTAATATTAGTCCTTACTGGACAATGGACATATAAGAAATTGGAATTTTATACGGAAAGAATAAAACGAATAAGAATCATTGTTATCTATGCGCTTTCGCCATTTTATAGGTAGTTCATGGATTCCTTTATTGAAAAAATTGTGGGGGCAAAAATCAATAAAATCTCTGAAGGCGGTTTTGACTGCCTCATTGACCAATTGAATGTTTTTTCCGTGCAAGAAATTGACCAAATTCCGGAAAAAGTGGTAATCTTGTATGAGTACCAGTACCGTTTTCTGAGTCAATTTTCACTTGGGGTTAGATTTGGCCGTTTCTCTGGATTGGCTGGGTTCAATCATTGTGATGAGCGTTTTCGATTATCGTACAGGATCCATTTTTAATCACAAGTAACGAACGATACAATTCAAAATCCCCTTGTTATTATGACGGTTGTGTAAAGTAACGCAGCGCTAGACGCGTGTTTGTTAGTGTGCTTCACGCAATTCATGCGGTACCCATTTTTCGAGCTTTTTTACTTTTCCAATTTATCTCAAGTGAATAAACGATATTTTATCACTCACACTGAAGTTTACCACTAACTCTGACAGAGTTTGTGATGGATCCACCTGCACGATCACTTTAAATTCTTCATAGTCAACCATCAAAATTTCAAAAACGAAAAAGATGGAACCAAAAACGTACCGTGTTTTCTTTTACAGTAGCTTCCCCATACACATCATTAATCCTTCGAGCTGTTTCTGCAACACTGGTGCCACGGTAGAACTTGTATTAGTCATTACCGCGATATTTTAAGTCCATATTGTGAACAAATTGATGTCAAAGAAAAATCAAATAGCGCGCAAATAAATTAATCACTAAATTCGAAACACAAACACACAAGCCTAAATTTGAAATAAATTTGATAACAAAACGCCAGATACTTGAGATCAAAGTGGCCAGTTCGACAAAACGCCATTTTCATATGTAAGGACCTAAATATTAAGAGGCCAGCCGCTAGATAAATAAGAAAAATACTAAAATATACTATACTTATAGAGGGAAACCTGACACATTACTCGAATGCACTATATATGAAAACGGATACATCAATCATTATTTGGACACTAACAATCGAGACCAATTTTCCAATGGCGACATGGACATGTCTTAGAATTTTTCAATACCTCCTGCATAACAGGCAACGAAAATTGCCAAGAAGTACAATATTTGTTTAAACGGAAAATTCACTGTGTTCACAATATCGCTGTGGAAGACGGTTTAAATAAATATATCGTAAGATTTTGCAATATACCTAAAATGTTAAAGACATTAAAATATTGTGACACATTTATTAAAAATAATAAGCTAAAATAAAACTTATAGCAT